TACACAATCATATACAAGAACAACTGTTAATTCTCCGCGTACTAGTTGTATCTGCCGTGTACTGCTTTTTGTAGTTGTCACTGTTGTTGAGTATCATGGAGACACAACATTCATCAAACCAAATCTGTTTAAATATATATATATATATATATATATATATATAAGTTAAGTAGAAGGGCGGCTAGTGAGAATAATTTAAACAGATTTGGTTTGATGAATATATATATTATTCCATTGCTGTTTCTCAGTTTCAAATGGGAAATGATAAATCCACATCTTTTCTTTTTCTTTTTTCTTTTTTTTTACATATTATTGTTTAATCTTATCTCTCGTTTCCGTTTGACTTATTTAATTCATTGGCTACAAACAAAGAGAGTTAAAAAAATAAAAAAAGTGAAAATCAACGCCATGTTCAAATTTATATACGTTTCACATTCCTGTTTCTATCAATCTTAGGAGTTTATATATATATATATATATATAGAAATGTTAAGAAAGCAATTGTTCATGATTAGTTGGAGAAACTTTATTTTGGTTGAATTCCATATATAATTAGGAGGAGAGGCACTAAAGGGTAAACGAATATAGTATTTAGAACCCACTAATAAAATACATAGCATAAACTAAAAGTTTGTTCTAGAGGCAAAATCTGTATCAAATACTTATTGGCCTCGTGGGTTCCGTTAAACTTTTTCCATCATCAAATGTACCAAACTTCAAAGCTGTATACTGCAAAAAAATTTAAAAAAAAAAAAAAAGAAACTTTAACGAAAAGTTCCCGGTACTGTTCACTTTAACGAAAAACCACATTATTACACTAAAAAGTCAATCCTGATACTATTCACTTTACCATTTATTTTGTCTTTATCGTTAAAACTGAAAGGGGGCGTTTGTTTGCCCTCACTAAGTGGGACTAGACTAGACTGAATTAGGTGTTAGTGTAGTTCCATGTTTGTTAGAGGAAGGGACTAGCTTTAGTGTGATTAAACCTCACTCGCCTCGACTATGGGGCTCGCTAGATAGTCTTAGTGAGACCCCCCGACCACCACCGGATTGCTAAGACCCTTCTTTTCTCTCCCGTTGTCCCACTCAACTCCTCATCTGCTTGATAACCTTGCCGAACCATCCCAAGACCACCTGCCGCATCCTTGTAAATCACAGCTTCCTCTGCCACTTTCTCTTCTTAGTTTTCTTTAATTTTGTTTTGAAGATTTGTGAAATTATTACTGGGTTTTGATAGATTTTTGTTTTTGATTGATTTGTGGGTTTCATTGATTTCTTAGATTTGATTGGTTTCTAGGTTTTGATTTTTGGGTTTTGATTGCTACCCATTTGTTTTCAATTTATCTGGTATTTTTCCTTTTATGAATTGAAATACAAAGTTGTTCTATGAAAATTTTGATATGTTTTGTTATTAACTCATTAATTTCTGCACGTATATGATCTTACCCAATTAATTAGTACCTTTTACATTAAGGCTTATGGTAGTCTTACAAAAGTCCAACAAATTGAATGGAACTATCGGTGAGGGTGAGGGTGAAACCAATGTTCAAGAAATCTTATACTCGTTCATCTTCTAAACTGCAAATTTGGTTCTATTTGCTATCAATTTGAGTCGATGAAAGTTTGATAATTCTCCAAGTTGCAAAAGCACCTGCAATTCGTGAAGAAGAAGAGGGCTATGCCCTTTTATTTTTTCACATATTCATTTTGATATTTTTAATAGAAAATAAATTAAAATATAATAATAATAATAATAATTTATTGTTAGTCTAGCTTCTTAGTCCAACACTGCACCAAACGCTTCACTAAGCTAGTCCAACTTAGTCTAGTCTAAGCCAGTCCAGCATAGTCCCTGAAGCTAGTCTAGTCCGAGACAGTCCAGTGCAACAAACGCACCCAAAGTTTTCAAGCTCTTTTCATTAGTTTTCCTTAAAAAAAAGAGAGAATAACCAAATATTAAAAAAATTATGGGTTAATCTCAGTTTACTACCCTGAAGTTTCTTGGTTTTCAACATTTGATACATAAAGTTTTTTTCATCCCAGAGTGGTACCTAAAGTCATAAGGTTGCTATTAAATCAACCGTTAACTGGTGATTGGGCGCCATGTGTTAATAAGGGTCCCACGTGGATATTAAAAATTAAACATAAAAAAATTAAAAAATTAAAAAAAGAAAAGGGTGTCTTCTTCCTCAAACCCCGACCCCCCCTCCCTTCCCCCTCCCTTCACTCTTCTCCACCTTCCCAACCTCTGCACATCCATCCTTCCCTCTCTCTCTTCGACTCCACCCACTCAACCCTCATCTTCTTTGACGGACCCGTGAACTCAAATGAGTGTGCCCCACCTACCAGATTTGATGGCAAATCTCAAGAAAATCGACCACAAATCTAGAGAAAAGCAGCAGATCAAGCCGCATTCGCATCTCCGACTTCATTCTCGAGCTGATTGAGCTCGACCTTGGCCGGATCCGAGCGGTGCAAGAGGTTATGAGCTCGTTGCTGTCTATACTAGGCCTCCTGAATCCTCTTCTCCACGATGAGCTCTTCCCCTCATTGAACGATTCTGAAATTATACCGGCGGCGGCAGTGTCCATTACCCGTGAACCAGTGCGGGGAATCAAATAGGAGATGAGGGTTAGGTGGGTGCAAAGAAGATAAAGGAGGGAGAATGGAGGAAGGGTTGGGGGGTGAGGTATGGCGGCAGTAGTCCGTTACTCGTGAATCGGTGTGGGGAGTTGAAGAGGAGATGAGGTTTAGGTCGGTGCAGAGGAGAGAAAGGAGGGAGAAGGAAGAGGGTGGTTGAGGAAGAAGATGCCCATTTTTTTTTCAATTTTTTTTATGTTTAATTTTTAATATCCACGTGAGACCCTTATCGACACGTGGCGTCCAGTCATTGTCCACGTGGACGCCACATCACCAATTAATGGTTGATTTAACAACCTAGACGGATGTATGAAAGTGTCCCAAAATTATGACTTTAGGTACCACTCTGGGATGAAAAAAACTTCATGTATCAAATGTTGAAAACCAAGAAACTTCAGGATAATAAACTCAGATTAACCCAAAAATTAAATATTATCTACACCTTCTCACTTCTAATCCGGAATCCTCTTCTTCAGCTTGCTCTACTAAGATCTATTTCGCTTTTAATCGGAAATATGCCACATTTAAAATTTTATCCAAAGGTTAGAAAATTAAAAATTGAAAGGAATAAGAGTTACTTCTTCCGGATTGGTTTAGATAACAAAAATATAATTTTGGTGTTTTCAATTTCACATTCTTTTGTGAGAAGACAATTCAAAATTAAAGATTTCAAGAAACTTATTTCTTACACGTAACACGTTTGAATCATGTTGAATTATTTTCCATTTTGTTTTTCTCTTGGAAATTGTGAGTGATTTTGTTGATTGTAAAGATAATGATCGTCCTTGGTTACAATGTCCAAATTTTAGTTGGAGAAGACGATGACATAAAGCCATTTACAGTGAAATTGCAACCTTCGACAAACCTCTATATTTTTGTAAAGATTTAAGGACTTATCTTTTAGTATCTTTTATCATATACCGTCGTTGCAACCTTAATTGTGAAAACTCAAAAATGCATCCATGTAATTGTCTATAAATCAAAGGATCATAGATTTAGCTTATAGAACTTCACTACAGGAATTTTAAACACTTTGGTTGAACTAATCAAATTTGATTTTCTATTCTTTTGCGCTGATATGGTTTGTGCATTTAGTAGTGTCCATGCGAGGGAATGTAGTATGCAATTCAACTGTACAGCTGAAAAATATTTATATTTCTTGGAAAATATATGCATGGATTGCATGCATAATTTAGCACATCAGCCACACTTCCATTATATAATTTATTTATTTTTTCCAAATTATAAACCAATTCATCAATATCATATATCGACAGATATACTAAGAACTAGTTTGAAAATGTTTTTCACATGATTGAAAGCGCTTTGATAAAATTGATTTTGGGTTTCAGAATCAAAGCACGTTAAATGTTTTTTAGTTTTAAAAACATTTTCATCAAAAACATTTTCAATCATTCTAAGAACAATTTCAAATGAACCCTAACATCAACATTTACAACAAAATTGGCTCTCAATCACCCCAATGAAAGACTTTAACAACCAAAGAAGCCACCTCATGGGCGGCTTTGTTAAACTTTCGAGGGGAGAACCCAAATGCAATGGACTACAAACGGAAAGCTTGTACACGAATGTCACGATCAACTCCTTCGACCAACATCTCCATAGTCTCCCCACATATGCCACTGCCTTTGCATCTGTCTCTACCTCCACGATAGCAAAACCTCGCACCACATAGGCTGTCAAACCCGCACGAAGGTCATTCATAGTTGCAAAAAACAAAAATAAATATTGGAGTCACGATGCAAGAGACTTGCAGCCCAATTGCTTAAGAGTGTTATACATGCGATGTCCTAAAATATGTGTTCGAGTGGCCCTTAAATCCGTATTGCTTGTACACAACAAAGTCACTTTATGATGTAATATTCATTATCTCTCTTTATTGATTCTATCAAAAAAAAATAACTATAGGTTATACATTGCAGATATGGGCTCAATCAAGCTAGGTAGAGTAATGTACGTGCTACCCTTCTTGTGCTTTAAGTCAGAACACTTTCTAATCATAGTTTAGAATAGATTAGAATATCGCTCGAATAATTAGGTTGTGCATTCGGTCTGATGTTTAAACTTTGCCTCCACATTATGTTAGCATTTAATCTCAAATCACCATCTCCATATTTTGTTGATTTCCTTTGGTATGTCACATGTGAGATTTGGCTACAATCATATATTTGATACAATTAGCATCTCGACGGTCAAATGGTAATTATATTAAACACATACATTCATATAAATTATATCTGACCGTTAAATGGTGATTGTATTTAATACATGTAAGTATTGTGATCAATCTCATCCGATGTGTTGGGGTTGTAAATCAAGCCACAAAACCTGGTAGCAAGAACAATGACACTATATTCAAGATCCTTTCGATAACATTGTCGACATGTAGTGAATGGAAGAAAAGAAAAAATCATTTACAAGCTATTAAAAAGCAAGATATGTGCTCTTCAGTTTCTCCGAGATACTGAATCATCCTTGGGAAGAGCAACGTAGTTAATGGGCGTTACGTTATGTGCCCTTCCGCTTTCCTTGCGTTCCTTTCCAGCTGAGACTCCATGACGGCCTAAAGGTGTGCGGCGATTGATTGGTGTGCCAACCATGGTGTTACCACTTGTGCTCTGTCCCAACGGCTTCTTTGTAGAAGGCCTTGAACCAAAGATTGCCTCCTGTTCTGCATTATGTTGTTCTTGAAGCCGTTTTTGCTCCTGTAAAAATTAACCATGGGCCAAATCGTTATTAGCTTTTTCTCCTAATTTCGATTGACATGTCCCGCACAATCCATTAGAGCAGCAGAAACAATGCATTTGCAGAATGAATGGCGATGAATAGCAATAGCATGCATAGCAATTAGGTACACAGTTGGCAATAGATGAATTTTTATCAAGATGATCGATCATATCCAGAAGTCATGACAGAAACACAGATACAAAGAGACTAAAGTCGCCAAATTGACACAGAAAAATGAGATTATATCTATTTTCCCAGTAGCAATTACGCTACATTTAGCATTTTATGCAACAGATTAAACTATAGGATCAGAAGATGGGCAGTGGACATTATTTGCATTGCAGAAAGAATGAAAGTCTGGATGGCAAGGTGTTTCATCTGCATATTAGCGAATGGTTGAGTGAAAGTAGCAAGTCCAGGCATACCCGAGATTTACGCTTCTCCTCCTCTCTCTCCTGTCGTTGTGCAGTGTACTCCTCCAACGTATGTAACAAGGGAACCTGAAATTCATGTAGTTGTTGGACTAAGCACAGCAGATTAAGATAACATAGAACTTCTAAAAACAAAAACATCTAATAAACCATATTGGATTACCTTGTCATATAAGAAAGGGATTCCTTTCTCAATCTCCCAGGCTTTAACTTTGGCAGTCAAATTTTCGATGATAGCTAGTAAAAAAAGTATTTGTTGTCAATAAATAAACTTCCGATAATCACTAACAAGGCTACATATAATAAACACAGAAAGAGAACCAGGCACTGCAAGCACATGGAACTTCATTTCAATATAATTTCAGTTTCATGAAATTGTAGTTCCATAACCAAACAAAAGTGCCTCTTTAAATATTTTTGCTCGAAGGCTCAAACAAACAAAAGTGACTTGCAGATCCAGTTTTAGCAACAATTAACTTCACTCAAACCCAAATAGATCCCGCTCTCGAACTTGGAGTTGCAAGTAGCACAAAATTTCTCTTCTTTATGGAAATTTAGGAGAACAGAATAAAGAGTGTCCAGTTGGTTGCTTCCCCACAAAACCAGGTCTGAGAAGTATGCTTTGTTTCTTCAAAGTGTAGAAATTTCGAGAGATATGAACCAAGGTTTTCAGTCGAGAAGAACAAGATTGCGGAAGTGAAATCCAGTTACACATTTTTCACCTCACAGTGAATGATAATTTGTGAAAACAAGCAAGCATGAATTCTTTTCCTTAATTTTGCTTCTCCGCGGGTCATAAAAGTGAGGTTTTTTTTTTTTTTTTTAAACGAACAAGTATACTCACCATGAATTCTATGCACAAACTATGAGGTATGATGATTATCAAGTAAACTGAACAGATAAATACACAATGCACCTTAAGTATAGAAATAAAAATACAAAAGGATATAAAAAAATGTCAAAGAAATGATACAAAAATATACTTTCAAACAAATTCAGATGCTGTTATGCTACAAATAAACAGTAATACCAAAATTCTGGAGTGAGTCATTGGGAAGTCAAAGTATTCATTACTTCTTATATATGAACCAAGACCCTAAGTTGGCCAATAAAATCATGTAAAAAAAATGGTCAGATAAGCATCTTCAGGGCATAGAGAACAAAGTACAGATAAAAGTGAAAGCACATTTGTCTAACAAGTATTTTATAAGAGATCCAAACTGCTCTAAAACACGATTAAGTGCTCACATGGTATTTTTCCAGCCAGAATCCGGGCTTTCTCAGCACGCTTTAAATTTTTGTGTGCTCCTCTTCCTGCGCTGTAGCGATTTTCATCCTGAAAGAAAAAAAGAATAGAAAATTCAACATAAAGAAAATTTCTTATTTCTTCCTGAATAAGCTCCAATATGCTATAAAGGAAGTCACAAATGATCAGGGACTTAAATAGCCCAAGCAAAATTGTCCATGTATTGAACCTTTCTAAGACCATGCTTTGTTACCTCTTCAATGTGGAATGCCCTTCATCATTACTACTACTAGTACCCTACTCATTTTCAGGCTTCCCTTAACAATTGCTTGTTTAACACAAATCATATCATTATCCACAATACCATATTAGCTTAGTTGAAACTTTGTTATTTTTTTCTTAACTTCTAAATAAATGGAATCGCTTCTCATCCGTTCACAAGTTGTTACAACTGCATCTCAACTTGTCTAAACCAATTCCACCAACATGTTTCTTAGATATACAATAGCTGTACTAAAAAATTATAGCTTAAGGAAATTCTATTCTATAGTTTTCCAACCTTATTGGTATTGTTGACCAGATGATTCTCTAAAACCCGATCTCCACTTCAACCCTCAAGCCACCACAAATCTACAGGTAATTTCTCTTCCATCACACTCTCTGTGGTCTATGCATATGATTAACCCAAAATACCAAATATGATCACTCTTAGTCTTTACTCGTTTAGTCACTTGACCAACAGGTTATATACTCTGAGACCGTTGAAAATAATAGTTCTGAACAAAATGTAAACTGTTATTTTTATACTTTTACCTTTTCATACTCATCAAGCCACTTTTCCTCGTCAGATGCAAACTTGCACTTCTCTACCTTGTCCAAAATATCCTTCCTGCTTAAAGCTTGCTCTTTGGCCCTTAGAATCTGATCATCCATGCTTGAAAGCAGATCAGACAAACTCACACTACCTGTAAATCCATATGCAATCATATTTCACCATCATAATTGAAAAGTTTATTTTAGAGCTATAAACAAGGGACCAAGATTATAGAAGGTTGTTAAGACCAGAATCTATGAGACTGCTGAGGATCTCTCTAGCTGAATCACTATCTACATCCATGTGGACCCCTCTGTAAATTTCTTCCAGCTCACTTTGCCTCTTGAGTACCAACTCCTTCATCTTGCTGGCTTTCAAAACATTCAACCTCTCAACTTCAACCTCAGTCTAGAAACAGTGAATTTCCAGTCAGTCATTACTAACAGAGTCATTAAGATTTGCAGCACAACGTTATTTATGCGAGAAATTTTAATATAAACTGGAGATGATAATTAGCACCTGTTCAATGACATCTAGGGAAAGGCATCCTTGCCTAGACACCTCATCAACTGAGGAAGAAATTATGCTCGTAACATGGTCAAATCTTTTCTGTTCATCAATTGGTGTCTCAATCAGATTCCATAGTTCTATCAGTTTGCTCCCAAGATATTTTAGCTACAACAAAACATATACCAATTGAGTAAGAAGAATTTCGAAAAAAAATGGAAGTGTAACAAAGTTAACTTCCGTGGAAGTACTGGGAAATTAAAGTGCGGAGTTTTACAGACTAATTCAAAAAAGTAATAATACATTGCCAATTCACGTAGGTCACCTTATGTATCAAATAGTTAGTGACAGAGAAAAGAGATCAATATTGAGTTACCTTTTGCAGTCTTTGTTGTTTCTCTTGCTTTAATGAATCAGTCAAAGTCGTCAATCTGGCAAGAGTATCATTACTGATGCTCTTGGACTGAGCGGAGGAATGATCCGTCAAGCTTGGGTGAACTTTGTTGATTGTCTTACAGAAATCAATTGACATTACAACCGAGAGTTCATGGATGATGTTTACATTAGCACTTACTCTCTCTAGACGCAAAACCTGCACAAAGGATCCAGAAAAACCCAATTGCAAACACAAGAGAAATTCAGAACCTGAGTTAAATTGAAGACTATCGGTGAGCCAAAAGCAGAACCCCAAGCATTACCTTCTCTCTTTGAAGCTCCTCAAGTTGTGACTGAAGGTCCCGCAACCTCTTCACACTCAAATCGCGCTCATCAAGTCCTGGATCATCCACATTCCCAGACACGCCAGCCCCGGCTATTTCAGCCGAAATCCTTGCAATCTGGGACAGAACTGCTGAAAACTCCTTGACCCTTTTCTCCTTCTTCAAGATCAATTCGTCCAGAACAGGTTTGAGGGTAGACAATTGATCTTTGAGAGTCCCTCTTCCGCAAGAAAAGGAGTCAACTTCTCCAAGGGCCAAAGCAATGGCCTTGATCTGGGCTTTGCTGTCCGCTAAGTACTGGTGCAATTCGGCACTGTGCTTCCTGGTCATTTCCACCTTCCTCCGGTAAATATCGAGACACTCTTGCTCAAGCTGTAGAAGCATCTTGTCCCTCTGATCGTCACTCTCCCCAATTTCATCCCAAATTATCTGAAAAACTCAAAATCCAAAAAATCCCAATTAAACCCCTTAGTCCTCCGTCGCCGAAAGTACCGAAATTCACCTGGAAAACGAAACGAAAAGAAAACCAGCGAGCGAGAGAGAAAGAGAAATGGAACCTGCAATTCGCGTAGGAGAGAAGCGCAGGTGGTGCGGGAGGGAGAGACGGACGAGGGCTTCGTGGTCATGGTGACTGACGAAACGTTAGGATAGAAGCGGCGTCGTTTTCAAGATTCGAGTAGTAGCAGCACCTGAGAATTGGAGGAGAAAGGCGACGAGCAACACCCTAGAGAGAGAGAGAGAGAGAGAGAAATGTGGTGGCGTTACGATTACGACACCGTTTTCTGGGTTTGATTGACGGAATTGGAATGTGATTAATTGTGAGTTATGAATGCGAGAGAGGGAAATGTTTTTTCGAAAACGGAACTGCGGATTTATCGGATGTTTTGGCGCCAAGAACACTGCCTTTATTTTGACATCCAGCTTTTTTTTCTTTTTTATTTTACCTTTTTTTTCTTTTTCTTTTGGCGTCCATTATTTAAATGGATCTGGGCCTGGACAATGAAAGAAAAAGGCCCAATGTAGAGAATGTGATTGATGGGGGAGAGGTTTAACAACTGAAACAAATTTGAACTTCTTTTTTTTCCGTCTATTGTTATTTGCATTCTGAAAAAGTCATTTTACTCTTCTTTGTACACAAATTTTCTATTGTGTATTTTCAATTTTGGAACAAGCGATCAACATTTATGAGATGTCAATAACAATTCATGTAAAGTAAGACTTAATGAGATATTTTTTTTAGGGTAGCAATTCGAGCACTCTTTTATCAGTAACATGCACTTCAAACCTAAATTTCACCATATATCTGCACTTAAAAAAAGGAGTGCTGAACGTTAAATTAGGAGCGTTAGAATCTTGTTTATCCTAACGATGTTATTCGGTTTTCGTATCGAAACAAGGGTTTGTCAAGTTACTAATGTAAAGTGTGTAATTTCTTATTGTACCAGTTAGTTACCGCACGCTGCTCAGATTATATTTTTAGGTTTTAGCTCAAAGCCCAAATTCAAAGTGATCAACCACGTTAGTCGGATCGAAGCGCAGGCATTGTCATCATGGAGGTTCGTTTGAGATACCACATATGGCAGCACAAGTACAACTTGGTCTTGGTGTTGCATGAAAGGTCTTGCTATCAATCTTCTTGTTGGTAAAGTTCCGGAGGCCGAACTTTTGGCTCCTTATTGCTCGGCTCCTCACGACTACTTAACTACAAATCATAAGCTGACTCGTACACTAAAGTCACTGAAAAAGAATTCAACCAAAAGAGAGAGAAAGAAAAACTCATCCGCTTGTCAAACCGTAATTTGTTCTGTAAACTCAGAGCGATATGGTTGCATACTACGTTGCTAGGTTGGCCTTTTGCATTGCCCGAACAATCATTTCCCACGCTGCTAGATCTGTAGCAGGGGGTGCCATTCGAGAGCCAGATATCGGAATATCGTTAGTTTGGTCTGTTTTTAAAGGAAAACAGACCAACTCTGGCCAAAACTCTGGCCAAAACTCCCCACCACAAACGAGGAGTACACGCTATCGAAAAGATAAAGAGCGGAGAAGCAAATTCTGTTTAACATTTAAATTTGCGCTTTCCGACGGAATAATCTCCGAGCAGATCCTGAATAATCTACTTTCACCATTTGGACAAATGATTTACAAGATTATGAGGTGAGGAGTACAACATAATCAAAATAAACCAAAGGTAAAAAGCACAAGATCAGTCTACCACAATGCCTCATATAGCAGCGGGTGCTTCCTTTTCCCTCTCGTCCCCTCTTTCAGTGTCAGAAATCCTTTGTTCTGAGGGCAAGTTCTTTCTCGATTTCTTGCTCCCTTCAACTTTCCACTGATCCCAGACTCGTGTTCTTGGTGGAGGTGTGAAATCTCCAATGGGTGCAACTAAGCCTGGCTTTCCATCATCGATAACGACATCAATCAACCCATAATCCCTAGCTTCCCAAGGATTCATGAAATTATCACGGTCCGTGTCCTCTTCAATCTGCACCAACAAAGAACTTAAAAACGGAAAGAGATCCTCGCAGAATATTTACTATGGAAGAAATCTAATTTGAAGCCTGACCTGCTCCAAAGGCTTCCCCGTGATTCTTGAGAATATTTTGTTCAATTTAATCTTGTGGTACACCATTTCTCTAATTCGAATACCCATTTCTGTTGCCTGAATTCACATGTAAAAGTTGCGGGATAAAATCATGAATCATCAACAAATGCATTAGCCTTGTAAACGAAAAGAACCATCTATCATATTCAGCCAACATGTATGTGCTCTAGCCAGGTAGAAATGCAATAAAAGGAGGAGATGATTGAAATCCTCCATCGCATAAAAATGCATGCGTCACTATGTTAAAGTTGTAGTACAAAATGTTTAGCCACTGCTATAAATATAAAGGACACCCTAACCCCAAGCCAACAAGGCTCCCTGCTTTGCAAAAGAGGAGGGGGTGAGAGGAACGTTAATAGTATGCAGCCTTACCCTTGCCTTCCAAAGAGGCTGTTTCGACAACTCGAACCATGACCTTTCAGTCACAAGGAGCAACCTTTCTGTTGTGACAAGGCTGAATAGAACTGGTGAGGTGCACAACCTTAAGAATATATCTGCATCATTCCACCTTCCTATAAAGTTGATCGCCTTAAATGACTTCACTGCAGACTTTTCTACGGCAGAGGAAAGTCAACCAACTTATTTTACTTATAAATGATATTAATGATGGTAGTGATCAGCCCTTATTAGGACAATAAATTAGCAACAGTAAACTATTCATCACAAACCACAAGGCTGCCCAAGTCAAAGTTTTGGATCACTGTGATTGCAAAGTGAGGGCTCACCACTCACGATTCCAGAGGCTCACAACAATCTAACAAAAGGTCATGTATTAAGGACTTGACCTTCTGAGCTGCAGAACCTGAGAGAGCTTGTTGAGGGACAAATGATAGCTTATTCTCAAGCACGAGAACTTTATTAGTCAAATGATACATTACTAAAAACTATATCAAAGCCACCAACAGCATGAGAAATGCTAACCATGTAGAAGGCATGGATTGTGGAAATTCTAGAAAGTGGAGAATAGCTAGTTGCCGGAATCTTGGAGTGATATTTCTCTGGGATCTAGTTGGAAGGGAGTTTGTTGTTTGACTCCTCCTTGAGAGATTTTAATTTAATTTGATTTATCCTTTACAGTTCATTGAAATTATGTAACTCAAAAATCGTGTTTCCCCGTGCAATGGGTAATCCTCTATTACTATATAAACTGAAACATATAAGTCAAATTTATAATCAAAAGAGAACTTAGATTCTTCCAAAAGTTAAATTGTTGCAATAATGTTCTGAAAGAAAATGCTTGGCTACCCTCAGAGACTATCAGGCCAAGGTGAGCTAAGTTTGTAAATACAATCTTAAACAATAATGGTCGTCTATAACTTAGTAACAGAAACAGAGGACAGCGCCAATATGCCATGCCTTAAACCATAGACAGACAGGCTTGGGGGGAACTAAGTTTGTAACTACATGATACACAATAAATGGTAATCTATAACTGACTAATAGAAAGACACAACAACATCGATATAAATACATGCAATGGAACTAAGGATAAAGATATTGGTATCAGTGAACAAGCATATTTACAAAAACAATGAAAACACTATGGTAAACAAACAATACTAAATACACCTTAAGAAATTTTATATGGACATCCACAACAATAAGCAGAAAACAAGCACTTACTTTTCCCCCGGCAGTTCCAAGGGGTTGATGGATCATCACTCTTGCATTGGGCATGCAGAATCTCTTTCCTTTTGTGCCAGCAGCAAGAAGAAAGGCCCCCATAGAAGCAGCAAGCCCCAGGCAAACAGTTGAAACATCTGCCTTGCACAATTTCATTGCATCATATATTCCCATTCCTACATGGAGGGGCAGGTTGGTAAGAACACAAAAGAAAAAGGAAGAGAACTATAAAAAGAAAATATACTCAATCCAACTGAAGTCGTATCACAATAACAAAGGAGGGCATGGCTAAGCTGGAGAACAGCTATTCTGCTTTCCAAAAGCAGAAATAGATAGAAAAAAAAATTCATTTGCTTTATTTATTTTAGCAAACCTCATTCAATCTTTTCATTGACATTATCTAGTTAGCACTCTACCCTACTCTTTCCCTTTCTGCAAAAATTTCCCGCCCTCTATGTCATTAAAATTTCAAAATGCATAACAATTGACAAAGAGTTGGACTTGTACATAAAAGAATCATGCGGACTCAAAACAAAACCCAATGGCAAACATATATGGCTCCAATTTTGTTCAATGTTACCAAAAGGACCCAAACGTCAAACCATACATATCTTCTTTGTCCCTCACACTAATCAACTTAAAGTGTCTCTCCTCATACTAGTACTTGTTGGTTTCTTGTGGTGTTGTTTCCTTTTTAATTCATTCCCCTAGCTAATTGTCTTTGTAAATTACACTAATCTTCTTTGCATTGGTTTTTTATAAGAGTATAGAAGATGCCTTCGGAGGAACAGACTCACCTTATCCCCAAGCTAATCATCTTTGGTTTTCTTTGTATTTCCTTAGCATGTCAAGCTCTTGTTTACTATCATCTTTCCATACCTTGATACCAAAATCTAGTCTATTCCCAACCAAACCGAATGCTCACTACACCTTGCTCGCCTACATAAATCTTTTCTACCATGTATTTCAGACAAATATAGATTTCGAAAGCCTGTCGTGTGGTGGTTTACACTGGGAAGAATTGGTTTTAAAAAGTTATACACCATAATACCAATATATTGATTCCACTGCACAAACTATCCACCGTCCATGATCAGTGCTGTTTAAGTTTTTTTTTTTTTTTTTTTTTTTTTTTTCAAACTAAAGATTACCCATGACATCACTGGCTGAGCCGGTTAAAGCTTAGGAGGGTCATATGACCCTTCTCACAATTTTGGAAATGTTGTATTTATACGTGCTAATATGATGTAAATTGGCTTTTATATTTATAGTTAACCTCCTCACAAATGTAATTTGCTCATGGTTGAGGGTCTAACACTTCATTTCATAATTTCATTTTTTGCCTCTTAATCAAATAAAAGGTATTTAATTTCATGTCCTCATACTCATATCCAATTACTTTTGTTCAAAATCGCACAAAAGTGCATAGGCATGATTGCTTTCCGCCATGGTTGGAAACTTGGAATAGTTTTTTATGCTAAATAAGCTCGATTTATCATAATTTTATAGTCACTTAAGATTGAATCTCCTTAACAGAATTTCTGGCTCTATAACTACTTGACGTATCCTTGAAGTTACTTAAAATGAGTATTGAAAAAGTTATAAAAGTTCTCATAGATTGTCCAATTGCAAAATCAATTACCATGCACACACACCCTTGAACTTCCTCGATGGAATTAGTTAAGAAAACTTATGAAATATGCAAAAGCTTGGATTCAATACATAATTGGAAATACACAAGTTTAATAAATAAACAACATAGATAAGTAGGTCTACCCTACTTTTAATTATCAAGTTGTTATTGTTGCATTCAAGAGAAATCAAAGGTACAAACTATTTTAACTGCGCTCTCATACACAGAGTAGAGGAGACAAAAATTATATACAAATGAATGTATGATCCAATCACAGAGTCAAAATTTATCTTCAAAAGGCACACAAATATATATACATTGGCTTATACTCTTATGGCACCATATATGGCAGAAAACTTAGGAGAAACAATTGACACACTTTCATAGTAGGGGAAAAAAAAAAAAAAAAAAACTAAATATAGCTTTTTTAGTAGAATAGGAAAAAGAAATCTAAACAATTTATTGTAGAAAACTCTAAAATCAAAGGAACATAGTGCAATCACTTAATGTCTTCATTCTGAAAGTTTAGTGATTCCATAGGTCTTAACAAAAATCAACAAGCATCCAGATAGCAATCGCTACTTCTTAACTCTCTTTCATTTTTTTTTCTCTTCAAATTTTACGAGAAGAAAAGCTTTGAGCGGATAAAAGAGATAAGAAACAACACAAGGTGACAGCCAAACCATCACACATAGTAAGGCTCAATCCAAAATAATAATTGAATTGATCAACAGCTACATTAAGTAAAATATACATCAAAGCCTATTGTTCGCACTCTTTGGGTATATCCGAATTAATATATTACTTGCTTTACATTAGTGGCTGTATATTCTTCCAGTACTCTCCCTTTAACATTTCCTCATCCAATATGTTGCAAATATAATGCAGTATATGCATGCAATCCCTTGTACTTGATACCAAAGCATCACTTCATGATGCCGTTCTCCTCATTTACTATTTAATTTGCCAATGCTTCAAGTTATATTATAATTGAAAATCGATTTACCTAATTATGTAATAAAAGTATGTCGTTCATTTGTATGTTTTGTTATCAAGGATATATAAGAACCAGAAAGCTATAATTGAGGAGAGATGCCAGGATCCAACATGCCGAATATATTTAAATCATACCAGCAGTAACAGAACCACCAGGCGAATTGATAAACAATTTAATATCCTTTTTCGGGTCCTCGGCATCTAGAAATAGAAGTTGGCTTATGATCAAATCTGCTGTCATGTCATCTACCTGCCCACCGTTAGAAAATGAAGACAAAATTAAATAAAGCAACCGTTCCTAATCATACGTTAAGTCTTCTAGTAACTAAGAAACACAAACAAACACACAGTAATCCCATCAAATGACTAACTTCTAACTTTCAAGTTTCAACAAAAAGAAGAACGTGCAAACTCAAATACAAGTTTAGTCCTTTTGTAAATAAGAAACACAAATACACACACAGTAATCCCATCAAATTTTGAACTACTTAACTTTCAACAAACAGTAAAGAGTCCAAATTTCACAAGTAGCAGCAAAACCCATGTCGAAAATATTCGATGCTGAAGCAAGAAAACCCAAATTAAGAGAGAAAGAGAACCTGAGAACCCAGAAAGATGATTCTTTGACGGAGAAGCATGTTGGTGGTATCGAGCTCTTCGAATCTGGGCAGCCTTGGAGCTGAAGTTGTAGCTGAGGGAAAATCCCAATTGCTCGACAAGGTCAGTCGTGGAGGAGACGAGCTTTTCATGGCCTTTATCACACAGACGCCATTGCTTCTCCGACGGCAATTGATAATACCATTGCTGTTGAGGGCAGTGCCCTTCACAATCGGCGAAATGGGCACTTGGGTTCGTGAAGAACACAGCGGCCTTGAAGCTGTGGCTGCGTACGTCATCATCTATCTCCTCTCTCACTCTCTGTGAGTGTGTTTTCTCTATTCTTAGTCTCTGACCCTCTTTTTCTTTCTCTCTGTTTCTTTTTCTGGGAAAGGTGGGGACGGAAGGAAAAATGAAATAGCTTTTCGACAAAGAGGAGGACAACTGCCAAATCGGCCCTTACAAAGGGCCGACGCCAATGGGCCTGGGCCGGTTCTTGTTATCCGTTTATTGTATCTTTCATCGTATTCGTTCATCTTATTAGTTCATTAATTATTTTGCGATCAGAATTCTTTTAAATTTATTATTAAATACAAACAATATTTGACAAAACTTGATCGCACACTATACAATGTACGGTTAAAATGAATTAATTGCTAGAATCCTCACAAAAGATGTCTGAAGAAGATCCTCATCCCATCTTAAAAGCTCACAGGGTAAGCAAAGATGGAAAGGGATCCCTTCTTTTTAATCCACCAAATTAAAAAAAATCAGACAATTGAAATTTGATCCAACAGTTACAAACAAGAGTTTACATTAAAAATTATAATAATTTTAACCGTTTGATCAAATTTCAATAATCCGGATTCCCTAATTAATCAAATTTCAAATTAGGAAGAAGGATACCTTCCCAGCAAAGATGGTGCAGAGTCGACACGTGTATGACACGTATCATAAAAACCCGATGACCGAAGGAAAAATATCCGAATTTGCAGAGAAACCGTCGAAAAAATCCCCAAACCCAAAAATCCAGATGAAATCGGAATCTTACCTCTCTCTATTAATTGCTCCCTTCTTCTTCCTCCTCCTCGCTTTCCCTTCCACCACCGCAGAAAAATCAACCCGAATTGGCTGCGGCCGCAGTTCCCAACACCGCAAAATGGGCATACTCGGCGGAATCGAAGAATTCCGCGGCGCCCAGAACAGCGCCGAAGTTGAAGACCTCGCTCGCTTCGCCGTCCAAGAACACAATAACAAGGAGGTACTTAGTTTGACCTCCTGACTTTTTCCTTTACCTAATTATGCTACAATTTCGATTAATTAATTGAATTATTATGGTTCAGAATGCCCTGCTCGAATTTGTGAGGGTTGTGAAGGCGAAAGAGCAGGTGGTTGCCGGAACTCTGCACCATCTCACGATCGAGGCGATCGAGGCCGGCAAGAAGACGCTGTACGAAGCGAAGGTGTGGGTGAAGCCTTGGATGGGCTTCAAAGAAGTGCAGGAGTTTAAGCAGGCTGAGGCCGAGGAGACGCCGTTGATTACCCCTGCCGATCTTGGCGCCAAGCAAGGTGGGCATCCTCCTGGGTGGCAATCTGTGCCGCCGCATGACCCGCAGGTGCAGGATGCGGCTAACCACGCTGTTAAGTCCCTCCAGCAGAAGTCTAATTCCTTGTTGCCTTATGAGCTTCAAGAAGTTGTTCACGCCAAGGCTGAGGTTTGTGCCCTTTCATTTTCCTTCTTTTGGTTTTCCACTTTGTAGTATTGGGGTTGGTATTTGTTTGTGTTGAATTGGGTATTCAAATTTATCTGAATAAATTTTTGAGAATTGGGTATTGTGTGTAGTTTTTTGTTGTGTCGAAAGGGATTTTGGAGAATTGGGTATTTGGGGGTTGGTTTGTGCTGAATCAGAGTATGAAAATCGATTTTATTGCATTTCGGAGAATTGAGGATTTCGGGGGTGGTATTTGGTTTTGTTGGAATGGGTGTTCAAGTTCATTGAAATGCAGAGAGGTTTTTCAGTGTGCTCGGAACATGGGGCGGCATGCCAAATGTTATTATACGAGTGGATGGATATTTTTTTTCAAGTGTCCCTCCACTTAGCGTATGTGCTCAGGCTTCGGGCACGCTTTGAAAAATCTCTTTCAAATGCGAGTAGTTGTGTAATGGGACTGTGGAGAATTGAGTAGGAAAAATCTTTTCAACTTCAAATTGTTTTGTATAATGCGGTATGCAAGTCGATTTGTTTGTTCTTCTCTGTTTTGAGGTCTGTTTGACATCATCGTTGGGATCGACGGGATCAATGTATTGATCTGTGTATATGATTAAACTGTGGGGAGCAGGTGATAGAAGAGCTTGCAAAGTTTAACATGCTTCTGAAGGTGAAAAGGGGAAGCAAAGAAGAGAAGTTTAAAGCCGAAGTGCACAAGAATATGGAAGGCGCCTTCAGTCTGAATCATATGGAGGCAGACCACTCCTAAACAAGTAAATAGTTTGTGGTATTGAAATCGTCCGGTACTAACCCGAGTATGTATGCTGCTTTGCTTGCTTTCGGTACATCTTGTATGTCTTGATACCGAAGACTAAGGCGTAGTTGTGTGTCTAGATAATGTGTGTGTTTATAAATGCTAATACTTTCTATGTTCTTAAGCTTTGTTCCAATGTTGCTTTCACTCCAACTCTACACTGGACGTTTGCTGGGATTCTTAACGTCTTTAAGATATCAATTGACTTATGTGCAGACTAAGCTCCGATAAATGTTCGTGTCCGGTATATATGAAAACATCCCTCCTTGAACCTGTTTTGTCCCCCAAGTGATGCTTCATCCCGCCCTGCCTGTTATCAGTCTTATCGGTCAGTTTACAGCTTCCGATTGACAAAATGATCAATTTTCATCTTGTTATTCTTTGGCTTTTCTCATAAGCTCCGGAGTTGTAAGCGTCGTTACGTTCAAAGTTTTATCTGTGTGATGTAAAAGACGTGGTAAATTCAGTTTTTTAAACTTTTTGAAATGTTATTCATCGTTTAACTACCACAACGTCATGATTTTCAATGGATTCTCGAGAAATTAGACCATCTCTAAAGGTGATGTCAAATTTTGAATCTAAAATTTAAAATTTGATGGTTTATATGGCATTTAGACATATTTTCATGTTTTGCTCTCCACCCAATGTATCAAATTAAACTATTATTTTATTACATTACTTTCTTTTTATTTTTTTAGTTTGTCTTATATTTTAAATTATTATTTTATTACATTATGTCAAATTAATGGATTTGTGCGGAATGACGTGGATGGATTTGTGTGGTGCAATGGACGGCGGTGACGACAAACGGTGAGGCTTCGATGCTTTGTGGTCCTCCTCGTCTTCGTAGGCTGCACAGATTGAAGAGGAGGAGGAGGAGTCGGTGGTGGAAAAGGCTAAAATATCCTTAATGCGGTTGGGGGGAGTCATCGATGGTGAGAGTCTGGTCCTTGGGTCCGCCGTGGGCTTGGTGGAGCTTTGACGACAAGCCGCTCAACGATTGTCTTTGCATGGTCACAGACTCACAGACAGAGAAAGACAGAGGGGGAAGAGAAGAGAAAGCGAAAGATAAGAAAGCCGTTCAACAATCAAATAATAAATGACATTTAATAATATGACATTAAAATATTAATAAAAGACATTTAATAATTAGTAAATAAAAAAAAAAGGGAAGCTGCTGTCAAATTTGACAGCAAGTTCCTTTGTTGCCATTCTATGTCATGCCACATAGGATTTAGCATTTCGGTTGAAAACAATTAGTGGATGGTTTTTTTTACTGTTATAGCTTATGTGGACAATTTGAAATTTCCTTTGGAGATGCTCTTAGTATGTAACAATACTCTGGGTACCCTCAAATCTGATGAGTTCAAACTCATCCCTCGATAACTAAAATCCATCGCTAAATCGCCGGAGATTGCTTGAAATCCATCTCTAATCGCTGGAAAATTGAGACGACGATCACTGAGTTATTATGAATCTCTTTGAAAAACGAAGATGAGCTTTTGAGTAAGGTTCGTCCCTAGTTGATCGAACCTGGTCTCAGTGCCGAGGAGAGCCTTGAGAGAAATGGTGAGAACAAGCGTGCTACTATCGGAGGCTCTTAACAGATTGTTTTTCTGAGATTGCCCTAAACTCAATGTGTTAACCAAACGACAGAGCACTTAATGAGACGTTGGTTCAGCTACGTTCTTTTTATGCCTTGAAGATCGAGGCCTTAAAATTACAGATTGCGAAAATTTTAAATAAAGAACGCGAAAAGAAGTAAAACTTGTTTTGATCACTGCATTGCTGAAACAAAATACACTTCTCGAAATGAAATGCATGAACTACAAGAAAAATTACACCACTAATTGAACTATAAAAAAATTACACTTCCAAAATGTTTCGGAAAACTAGTAAAATACAATCTATATGCTAAGTAGTTTTCTCATAGTTCACTTGGCCATAAAGATTAAATTTGAGGAAGGTCCTGAGCTCTGGTTGTATTTATAGGTCCAGATCGTCTCTGGATCTAGGGATTCTAAGCCTATGGATCAATTGATCCGTCCCGTTGAAATTTGATCAACCGGTTATAAATAGGATGAAATTTGATCAAACGGCTACAAACAGGAGGTCCCACTAAAAGTTATAATAATTGTAACTATTGGATCAAATTTCAACGGACCGAATTAATTGATCCCTACGCTCAAGATCCTTAGATCTGGAAATGATCTAGATCCGTATTTATAGGGCATTGTGGATATCCTCTTTGATCTTATTGTCATTTGACATTGGCATTAACTACATTTCATGCAAGGTAGCATGCCTCTGTGCTTTCCGGCACTCGTATGTGGTGAATCTGTCTACTGCCCTCTCAAATAACGTGGTCTTTGTAGATTTAAAAAATGGAGTTTTAACAAAAAATTCACGGTACTGTTCATTTTAACGAAAAACCATATTTTTACACTAAAAAGTCAATCATAGTACTATTCACTTTACCCTTTATTTTGTCCTTATCATTAAAACTCAAAGTTTTCAAGCCCTTTTCATTAGTTTTCCTTTTAAAAAGAGGCAAGATTCCCGAGGTCTGGTCACCTACATAGTGCGCCTGGTCTAGGCAACAAATCTTTGATCTCCGAGAGGGAGGCAGATTGTCTGCCCTCCTATTACCGTGCCCTTATCATCCCCTTCTATTTGTGCGTTCACGGTTAAGTCACATTAACATTTTATATTGATTTTTTAATAGAGATAATAAGACAAAAAGCAATAAGAATATAAAATGTTGATGTGACTTAACCGTGACCGCACAAATAGGAGAGGATGGGAAGGGCACGGTAACAGGAGAGCAGACAATCTACCTCCCTTGGAGAGGGCTGGATCCTTTTCATAAGGATCCTAGGAATTCCGTGATCGTGACTGTTTATCGTACATCTCGCGATCAGAAATCATTTCAAAATTTAAATTTTAAAATTAAATATAAATAATACCTAACAAAAACTGATCGCACAATATACGATGAATGATCACGATCACGGAATTCCTAAACTACATACGAGATTACTCAATGTAAATACGAGATTACTTTTCAAGAATTGGAATTCTATTTTTAACAGTAACTAATACGGTAATACAGTGATACATTACACATTAACAAGACACAAACCACATACAAAAAGTCGTCTTCAAAACTTATAGGGGTGTTTATTGTACATGACTGTCTCAAACTAGACTAGCTGTAGGGACTAAGTTGGACTGGCTTAGACTAGATTAAGCTGGACTGGCTTAGACTAGACTAAACTGGACTAACTTAGTGAAGCGTTTGGTATAGTGTCGGACTAAAAATAAGAATAATAACAAACTATAACATTATATCTTTTAATTCATATCTAATAATATTATACTAATTAATTCTACCTTTTTTATTCTAATAATACTCTCCCTCCCTCTGGAAGCCTCCATCTTTTTCTTCCTCTTTATCTCCTTTGTTCTCTCTGTCCCACGCTCTCAACCACGTATGAAACCTCTCGATCGAGATCCCATCGGACGATCTCTAGTCTGTGAGAGAGCGAAAACCGGTGAAGTTGTGCAGATCGAAGACAAAGGCATCGAGATAGAGAGAGACTGGGGGAGAAAGATTGAAAGAGAGGAGGTTGAGAATCGACAGATCCGAAATGTGTGAGAAATTGGATATAGAGGCATCGGGAGAGAAAGAGACTAGGGGAGAGAAAGATTAAGAGAGACTAAGGACAAGAGAGTCTTCGAGAAGGTGTGAGACGCTGTGGTGGAGGTCGTGGTGGGGTGTGGGTGTGGATGTGGTTTGTTTGCCCCGGGAAAAAGAGTTGCAGAGATGAGGGAGAAGAAACAAGGAGAGGAATGACGAAGAAGGTTCGAGAGATCGGGGAAGGGGAAACACGGGGAAGTGGTGGAGAGCGTTTTCCAAGGTTTTCTCTCCGTCCCACGCTCTCCTTCCTTCCCCTATTTTTCACGTTTTTGTTCGGTGCAAGATTCGAATTGGAGAGAGCTTTCCAAGTCAGTGGATTCAATCGGAGCCGCAAGTCTGTGGAGCAGCAGAACCCGCCTGCAGCGATGCTTGGCGAGCTGACCGGCGACGAGTCGGGGTTTGTGGAGTTAGGGAAGTGAGAGACGGTGATGGCTTGGATTTTTTGGATCCGTTTCTGTCAAACCCAATATTGCAGACTTGGAGATCCTCTGAGATGGAGAATAGGAGATGAGGGAGGAGGAGAGAAGCGAAGCAAGCAACACGAGGTGAAGCCTGAGGCGAAGAACAGAAAGGGAAGTGAAGCGAAGAACAGGAACATGACTACGAATCCCCTAGTTTTTGGTGGCTCTCGCTAAGCCCACCTATCGTAGGATTTAGTCGGCACGAGTCCGGCTTAATCCCATTAAACACAATCCTAATTCACACCAAACACTGGACTACTAATCCTAACTAAGTAGTCAAGTCCAGAGAAACTTAATCCGGCCAAACAAAAGCACCCATAGAATAAGCCTTTCTCGTAACAAAAAAACAATAAACTAACAAAAAGAAAACAAAACCTTACAGAGGAAGCAACGGATAACAAAAAGATTCGCCACGTGTCACGATACCAGAGGATCGACAGGGCGAAATTTCCGTGTCCAGCGCGTCGACGGAGTCTTTGTCCTTGAGAGGGTGTGTATTAATAGCCACAAAACTCTTCTTCTTCTGCAGGCAAAAATCAAATCCACTTCCGAAATACATACAAAGCTCGCCGCAGAATCAAAGATGGCCGCAGTTGGTGCAGTGCGCGATAACCAAGGTTCCGCCAACAGCGTCGAGACCGAAAACCTCGCTCGCTACGCCGTCGATGAACACAACAAGAAGGAGGTACTTCCATTTCCGTACCCTTTTTGTTTCTGATTTAAATTGTGGGTGGTTTTTGATTGATCGGTCATGTTTGCGATGTCGTAGAAGCACTTTCTAGAGAAGCACTTTCCCGATGCTTCTTTATAAAGTGCTTCCAAGTGCTTTTTCAGGGAGGGGAGTCGTTTTGGATTTTGGGTAGTACTACCCACACACCCTTTTTTACTTTACAGACACCCCTCTTACTTTTTCACCGTCGGATTAAATGAATTGAAGAAGATTAAGGGCGAAAATTAATAAGGGGGCGTGGGAGGCAAAAATGGGTGTGGCATTATCCTGGATTTTTTTATTAAAATTTCAATAGTTTTGTAATGAAAGAACTTTTGACATAAGTGCTTATGAGCGAAAGTGATTCCTAGAAAAGATCCGTAACTAAGAAATTGATTGATTAATTGGATAGCTACTGAGTCATAGAAGCAGTTTCTTCATGAAGTGCTTGGATTTTTAAAGAAGTTTATGACTTTCTAATGAAAGAACTTTTGATACAAGTGCTTATGAGCAGAAATGCTTCCTAGAAAAGAGTCCTAATTTATAAATTGATTGATGAATTGAATATTGTGCAGAATGATCTGCTTGAGTTTGTAAGGGTATTGGATGATAAGGTACAAGTGGTTTCGGGCACTATGCATTATCTGAAAATCGAGGCCACCGATGGCGGAAAGAAGAAGGTTTATGAAGCCAAGGTGTGGGTAAAGCCATGGGAGAACTTCAAGCAAGTGCAGGAGTTCAAGCCCGTTTCCGACTCCTAGTTTGTTCGTCTCCAAGGTTGCTGCCCTTTCATTATTTCAAGCTATATAATTACAAGTGTACTGTTTACTTAGTTTTGGAGAATTGGGTATTTGATTTGGAGTAGATTTTGGTTGTTTTGATCTGTCTTTTACTTTTTGGGGTCGATATTGATGGAAGCATATAAGGTGGTAGATTTGGTTTTATGCTGATAATGTCAGGTTCTTTTTTCAACTTTATTATAAGTGATATTTAGAACATTGCTGGAATGATAAACTCTATTTAAGAGATTTAGCGGGGTGTTCGCGGAGAGACTTAAGGGTTTATGGAAACAATTAACATTTACTAAGCTTAATTTCGTTTGCATACGCATGTAATTTGACTGTTTAAGAAAGAGTTTAACATTTCTAAGACTCAATTATAAGCAATATAGGCCAAAAAGTCCAATTTGAATCCCACAATTTGAGGACTCGGACCTTGCTTTCTTATCTTAACCATGTAAATCCACTGAAAGGGAATCCAAACATTAAAAGTATGCATCTTAGGCCATGAATTTTTTTTGGTTGTTTTATTAGTCTTAACGTCATTTTCTCTTCATCTTTGCAAATATTATTTGTCTAAAAAACTGTCATGTCCAAGCTTTCTAAGAATATCATTCAGTCTGGTCGATACAGCCACATCATCTCATCTTGTTCAGTGCTCTTTTGATCCTCGCTGACTGTTGTTAAACATAAAAGAGTAGATAGAATCATTGAAGTTTTATTAAAATTTTCTTCAAAAAAGGATGTTGAAGGCATCAACCAGGTGATGTTTATGAACTCGTATTGCAAATGTCTAGGAGGAGCTTTTATTTCCTTGGGATCCTTTTCTTCTTTGGGTGCAACCTTGAATATACTCCTATTTCTTGACTCTTGGGTAGTTCCTTTCTATTACATTTCCAAATTTATTTTAGTTTCCTCGTAGTAGTGGGCATTTCATGTATTCATAGTTGGGAAGGTCAAGAAGGAGACTGTTTATCTTCTTGTTGAAAAGAAAGGTCTGTAAAGTAACGAAACCATTAAAAATTTAGGGGTTGAGATGCCATATTTGTAGCCTTATAGATGATCGAAGTCCCATTTCAAAACCTTGCAACCAAATGGAACCCCAGTTTTTGAATGGTTCAGACGATTAAAATTCGTATCTTTGTTCTCAAATTTGCATTAAATCTTCGTGTCATGCTCACGAGCTTCCTGGTAATTCAATGAAGTTTGTTTTGTTTATTACAGCTTCTTTTTTTCGTTTCAGATAATTGAGTTTTGTACATTCAACATGTTAGATTCGCTCAAATGCTGTGCTATATATGGTTAACCATTTGCAAGATCGGTTGATTCGAACTTTTGCTTATTTTTACATGTTTTCATTGTGAAAGCAGGGGATAGACGAGAAAGCAAAGTTCAATATGCTTCTATAAGTGCAACAAGGGAGGCAAGGAAGAGAAGTTTAAAGCCGAAGTGCGTAAGAATTAAGAATAATGAAGTTACCTTGAATTTGTGGCATGGCAAATTGTGGTGTATATACATGCTTTGGTTGCTGTTAAGTGTTTCTTCTGTGTCGTAATCAATAACAAAACCTGGTCACTAGTGATGTTGTGTACTCGTTTTTCCAATTTGTATCTATATTATAAGGTATTATAAGTCTATTGCTCATCCTTATTTTCTTCCTTCTTTTCTTTTCCATCCTTTTGCTATTTATTAATTTCAATTGGTAGTGCCAATTAGACCTGGCATTTTAAACCCGACCCAACCCGATCTGTTAAAATGAGTATTCGGGTGAGTGTTTAACGGGTTAGGTGGTTAACGGGTTAACTCGTTAAATAACTGGTCATTTTGGGCGAACCCGCGAAACTCGTTAACACCCATTATTGAGATCTTTTGTGTAATTTCAATAGTCAATAATAGAAGACCCTCACTGTCTCGCACTGCACCCCCTCGAATTTCAGCTCTCCTTCCCCTCTCTCTCCACTGCCGATTCTGACATCAACTGATTTGGGAAGGTGGTCCAGCTCGCAACTTTCGACCCATTTGAGTCGGCCCTGGATGCCCTTAACCAATGCAACTCAGTCTGTGAAGGTAGAGAAAGAAAGCTTGTTTCTTTTAGGGTTTTTGATTGATTTTGTTTCTGTTTGATTATGTAGGTTTGAAAATTTTTATGTTTTTTATCGCTTTTGTTTCTGGTTGACGGGTTGCATTGTGCCGATGGGCTACGTTTTCTTCTTTTTCTGTTACTTGCAACGACAGAGAGAGAGAGAGAGAAGCAGAGTGTCCTTCAGTCTAATGTCTGCAGACTTCTACACTTGTGTTCAACAGGAAGCAACTTATGGTTGTTGAGGGTTTTTCACGGTCGATCGATGATACAAAAAAGGGCTATATTTGATTTGGATGAAATGTAAAAAAAAAAAAAATAAAATAAAAAATTGTTAACGGGTGAAACAGGTAACTTATTAGATTAACGGGTTGGGTTTGGATGATCCATTAGCTTAATGGGTTGGGTTTGGATGACCCGTTAAATTAACGGGTCGGGTTCAACCCGACCCAAACCCAGTAAACCCTACTCGTTTAGAGGTCTAGTGCCAGTACTATAGTTAAGTAGTATTTCACTTCACTTGTAAGTGAGGTTTTAGGTTCGATTCTCGTCAAAGAAGAAGTTGAACCACAGTACTATGAGTGAGCCATTGTAAGGCTTAGTCCATTTCTCTACCCGCTTAGTGTAGATACAGTCGTTTGTTAAAATAAAAATTCGAGTAGGCGGTATGCTATCTTCATTAGGCACTTGTCTCAGGAAGAATCATATATACAGGATGAACTGATCAAGTGACTTTCTGAATTGGTTAAAAAACATCTCGTATGGGCATGCATCATTTAGTTTTAACCTCTCAATCGATCGAGAGGTTCTCGTCATTTCACTCGCACACAAACCCTAAGGCCCTGTTTGGCACACAGTATAAGGCACCAGATAGGACTAATAATACGGTGTACCGTGTTTGGTGACCATTTGGATTAAATAGGCACCGGATTAAATAATCCGGGCCCACCTTTTTTACCCGATGCTTACCCGCTTACTAATACTGTGCAAATGCACGGTATAACTTAGTCGGGCTTCGGTTGGAGAGACCAGTCTTCCATGCCCTCTTTTCCTCTCCAGGCGTTCTCCAGATGCTCTCCAGGCGCTCTCTCTTCCTCTCATCCCAGGTTCGTCTTCTCAACTTCTTCTTCGTTTAAATCATAGTTCGTCTTTTCAAATTTCTTCTTCTAGGATTCCGCCCTCCCTCTATTCTTCCCCCTCCTCCTATTTTTCTTGCAATTTTCTTTCAATTGATTGAATCTAGTTATCATTTTCTCTCTAATTATGCAATTGATTGTGTAATTTTGTGTTTTAATTAGAATTTTAGGGTTTGCTATTGGGGTCGAATTTAGGGTTTGTTGTTGGTGTTGAACTTACAATTTTAATGATTGGGTAGAGTGGGAGTGTGCAGGTTCACTTACCTAAACAAAACTTTGTCTCTGGCGCAACTCCTATTTCACTCGCTGTCTCACAGCCGCAACGCAACCATACGAAAACTTGACCTTGGGTACTGAAACTTGATCTTGGGTACGACGGTGACAACTCTTAACCACACCTGAACTACAAATCTCGTTCCAAATTTTTTTAATTTTTATGTGAATTTTACTTTATATATATATATATATATATATATATATATATATCTGTGTGTGTGTGTGTGTGAGAAAAATTTCGAACTAGGGTTGTTGAATTGTTGATTGGCATTTATTCCAGTTTGTAAAGTAATTACCTTAGAGTGTGTATGTGTGTGTGTGTGCGCTCTGTGTGTGTGTGTCTCTCTCTGTGTTTGTGTGTGTGTGTGCGCGCGCACGCGCTTGCAATGCAAGAGAAAACCAAGGGCAGCGTGCACAGCTTTTGTGTGTGTGTGTGTGTGTGCGCGCTTGCAATGCAAGAGAAAACCAAGGACAGCGTGCGCAGCTTGTGTGTGTGTGTGTGAAAAATTTCGAACTAGGGTTGTTGAATTGTTGATTGGCATTTATTCCAGTTTGTAAAGTAATTACCTTAGAGTGTGTTTTTGAATTCGATTCGTAACATGCTTCCTTGACTGATGAATGTCAAGACATCTTTATGATTTCATTGTAATTTTTCCTTATGATCACCGCAACAGTCTGTAGGATTTATTATCTGCCTATGACATTTTTTGGTAGGACTTATTAACATGCTTCCTTCCGTTTTCAGTGTTATTATGCATTCATGCTCCAGTTACTTAATTTTTTGCCACTATCTAATAATGTTATTTTATATTTTCACTAGACATGGATCAAAGAAAGATTGTGGCATGCTTCATTGTTAACATGTGGTACTTGAATATTGTGACTTGGTTGATGATGTGGTTCATCAAGAATCATAATTCAGCTAGAAGGCGGAATCGGCAACTTGCACTTAGAAATCGCACATTTGTTAGGATATGATGATGTTCAGTGTGTGAACCAAATTAGAATGGATAGAAGAACGTTCCACTATTTATGTCAAATGCTTCGTGACCACGGTAGAGTAAAATTGGATGGTGTAGTGACAATGGAAGAACAAGTTTGCATGTTTTTACATATACTTGCACATCATGTCAAGAATCGTACAATTGGGAGTAGGTTTTGTCGATCGGGGGAGACCATAAGTAGGTATTTCAATTCCATTCTACATGGAGTGTTCATCCTACAAGGTACATTTTTGAAAGTGCCAGAACCCATTCCTAATGCCTACCCAGATCCTAAATGGAGTTGGTTTGAGGTATTCTTCATATTTTATAAAAATTACTTCTAAAATTAATGTAATTAAATATATTGAGCATACTTATGTTAATGATTTTTTTTAGAATTGCTTGGGGGCATTGGATGGGATTACATTAACGTTCATGTCCCTGAGCGAGATAAACCAAGATACCGATCAAGGAAGGGAGAGATTGCGACCAATATGTTGGGAGTTTGTAATGTGGACATGAATTTTATATTTGTGTACCCAGGTTAGGAAGGGTCGGCATCTGATTCTAGAGTACTCCGAGATGCGATAAGTAGACCATCGGGATTAAAAGTTCCCACAGGTAACAATAGATTATTTGTTTATATTAGTAATTTGAATCCTCATTTTTCTTATATATAGTAATATACATTTTTTTTTTTTTGTGTTAGGGTGTTACTACCTTGTGGATGGTGGGTACACAAATGGTCCAGGATACCTTGCACCGTATAGGGGAGTGCGTTACCATCTCTCGAAGTGGAGAAATAGAAGACTCCCGATTAATCATAAGGAGTATTTCAATATGAAACATGCTCAATCTAGAAATGTCATTGAGAGATGTTTTGGACTACTTAAGATGCGTTGGAGCATCTTAAGAGGTCCATCATTTTTCCCAATTAAAACACAATTTAGGATTATGACAGACTGGTGCCTATTACATAATCTTATTAGAAGGCATATGTCAGCTGATCCAATAGAAAGTGAAATCCTAAACTTGGACGAATCTGAAAGTAGTGATGATGATAAAGATATGATTGACAGTGTTTAACCTACATAAGAATGGACTGCATGGAGAAACACTTTGGCTATGAATATGTACAATGAGTGGCGTGCACAAGTGTGATTTGATTAAATTTTTTTACATATGCATGTTGTGATTTGGTTATGGTTTGTTGTTTGAACAAATAGTGATTTCTTATGTATTCGGTTATGATACTTTATTCGAACAAAGTGCGACCTGGTTATGTATTTATTTAAAAAGTGTGATGATTTGCTTATGGTTTTTATCACTTACTATTAATTATATGCATTATTGATTATATGTCCTAATGCCAATATAAAGGGTGTTCCACATGTTGTGTATGTAATTGTAGGAATGGAAAGTGAACAAAGTAGTCAACCAAAATGAAGTAGAAGGGTTTGGAAACAACATGAAGAAGATGCATTGCTCTCCATACTTGAGGAGGCAGTTGTTAAGAATTTGAGATGTGATAACGGTTGTTTCAAACCCGGAACAATGGCTCAGTTTGAAACAGCTATTAATTTGAAATGTCCTAATGCCAATATAAAGGCAATTCCACATATTGAGTCCAAAATGAGGAGGTGGAAAAAAGATTATGCAATAGTTTATGACATGGTTAATAAAACTGGTTTTGCATGGAATGATGTACGAAAGTGTATTGAGGTTGATAGCACTGAAGTATGGCAATCCTATGTAAAGGTAATTCTCTAACATAATACTAGAATTTAACTTTACATATTTGATTACTTAACATGTTCCCTTACATACAATTTAATAGTATGATTGTGTCTACCAAACCATATCCTTTAGCCCTATTCATTATAACAGCTTAATTAAATTAATGGATGCTTGACTATATCAAGACAAGTTGAAGGGAACAAAATAAGATTGTTTGTATTTTATGGATAGTGTGAATTGTTTTCACATTGCAGGTTAACAAAGAAGTAGAAGGCTGGCTAGGAAAATCATTTCCATTGTATGACAGATTGAATGTTATTTTTGGGAAAGACCGAGCAACCGAAGTAGGAGCTGCAACTTCTACTGAGATGATGAATGAGCCTGAGCACATTAATGAAGATGAAGATGAGGCGGAGACTAGTTCTCCCTCTGTTGCTCGACGGTCCAGTAGTTCAAGTACCCGGAAAAGGAAGAGAGCTACTAATGATAATGATCTTGCTTTGGCATTTAAAGAAATGCTTTCTGAATCAGTTGATAAGTTGGGTGAAGTTTTACAAGTTGCTTTTGGGAAGGGAGTGGATCCAAAACCTGAGATTGTTTCAGAATTGTCAAAAATGGATTTGTCTATTGATGATCAAATCAAGGCACTAAATATCCTTTTCGAAAAGCCACAAAATAAGAGGACATTCTCGTCTTTGGATGGTGCAATGAAAAAAGCCTTTGTACTCATGTTACTTGGACAAAGTAACCCCAATTGACATTTCAAACCAACAACAATATATTTTGTTAAAAGCTGTAGCATGCATATATTTTGTTAAAAGTAGCATGCATATATTTTGGCTATCTGGACTAGACCTGGCAATTTATTACACGATCCGTTAACACGACACGAAAATAACGGGTTTCGGGTCAACACGATAACTAATCGGGTCATTATCGGGTCACACGATAATAACCCGTTAATAACGGGTCCTTAACAGGTTTACACGAAAGTGACACGCGGGTAACCTGTTTCGACACGATAAGAAAAATGTTATTTTGATGATTTTAATTTTTTAAACTACTAAAAAAAACTTACTATAAAATGCAATAGATATAATGAATATGTATATATTGTTTACTAATTATTATTCTATTATTATTTTATATAAATTTTAAAATTTAAGTTTTATTTATTTATTTATTTTTATAATATATTATAGGCAAAGATTGAGATTAAAAATCATAAAACACATTAAAAATAAAAATATCAAGTAATTTAAAAATACCAAAAACATAAAAAAATTATAATAATTAATTTCCCGCCTAATATTTCAAGAGTTTCATCCATTTCCCACCTAATGTTTGGGAAATTTTGCAACCTATATCCATCCATTTCCCGCCTAATGTTTAACCCAAAGAAAAAAAGTAACCACCTTTTTTTTTTTTTTTATCTCTTATAACATTTTAACTTGAATAAAAATAAAATATGTAATAAAAAAACATAAATGTAATTATATTATTAAATATCATCACATACTAATTGAAACATAGTCTAATTAACACTTAAAATATATAAATAATTAATATATTTATTCCAAGTCATCAAAACGATAAGATTCACTAACGCTTAAAGTTTATTTATACTTTCATTAAGTATAACATCAATGCGTAGCCCATCAAAATGATGAAAGTATGAATAAACTCTTAAGTGTTAGTGAATTTATCGTTTTGACGGGATAAGTATCCTACAAAACTAATTTCAACAATCCAACCGTCAAACTTGTTTATACATGCTTCGAGATCGCATACTCCAAAAATTGCAAAAAACAAACATTCAGAGATGAAGTAATGACACAAAACTTTTCAACGGTTGTAAACGAAAAATCACGATTTAACGGTTATTTTAACTCCGATTTTGATGACTTTTTACAGCTACACTTCTTGACCTTATATGAATACAATGAATGAATTCGATCTTCAATTTAAAATATTTACACTAGTGTATACCACAAATCTTATGTTATACTTAATGAAAGTATAAATAAACTCTGAAGTGTTAGTTAATGTATCGTTTTGATGGGATACGCATCCTATGAAACTAATTTCAATGATCCAACCGTCAAATTTGTTTATACATGATTCGAGATCACATAAACCAAAAATTGCAAAAAAAAAACATTCAGAGATCAAGTAATGGGACAAAACTTTTCGACGGTTATAAACGAAAAATCACGATTTAACGGTTATTATAACTCCGATTTTGATGATATTTTACAGGTACACTCCTTGACCTTATATAAATACAATGAATGAATTCGATCTTCAATTTAAAATATTTACACTAGTGGATACCATAAAATCTTATGTTATACTTGATGAAAGTATAAATAAACTCTTAAGTGTTAGTGAATCTATTGTTTTGATGGGATACACATCTTAGAAACTAATTTCAACGATCCAACCGTCAAACTTGTTTATATATGCTTCAAGATCGCATACGCCAAAAATTGCAAAAAACAAACATTCAGAGATCAAGAAATAAGACAAAACTTTTCGACGGTTATAAACAAAAAATCACGATTTAACGGTTATTTTAACTCCGATTTTGATGATTTTTTACAAATATACTCCTTGAACCTAAAAAAATACAATAAATGGATTCGATCTTCAATTTAAAATATTTACACTAGTGGATACCACAAAATCTTATGTTATACTTGATGAAAGTATAAATAAACTCTTAAGTGTTAGTAAATCTATCGTTTTGATGTGATATGCGTCCTATGAAACTAATTTCAATGATCCAACCGTCAAACTTGTTTATATATGCTTCGAGATCGCATACGCCAAAAATTGCAAAAAACAAACATTCAGAGATCAAGTAATGAGACAAAACTTTTCGATGGTTATAAACGAAAAATCACGATTTAACGGTTATTTTAACTCCGATTTTGATGATTTTTTCCAGCTACACTCCTTGACCCTAAACAAATACAATGAATGAATTCGATCTTTAATTTAAAATATTTACACTAGTTGATACCACAAAATCTTATGTTATACTTGATGAAAGTATAAATAAACTCTTAAGTGTTAGTGAATCTATCGTTTTGATGTGATATGCATCCTACGAAACTAATTTCAACTATCCAACCATCAAACTTGTTTATATATGCTTCGAGATCGCATACGCCAAAAATTGCAAAAAACAAACATTCAGAGATCAAGTAATGGACAAAACTTTTCGATGGTTATAAACGAAAAATCACGATTTAACGGTTATTGTAATTCCGATTTTGATGATTTTTTACAGCTACACTCCTTAACCCTAAATGAATACAATGAATGAATTCGATCTTCAATTTAAAATATTTACACTAGTGGATACCACAAAATCTTATGTTATACTTGATGAAAGTATAAATAAACTCTTAAGTGTTAGTGAATCTATCGTTTTGATAGGATACGCATCCTACGAAACTAATTTCAACGATCCAACCGTCAAACTTTTTTATATATGCTTCAAGATCGCATACGCCAAAAATTGCAAAAAAAAAACATTCAGAGATCAAGAAATGAGACAAAACTTTTCGACAGTTATAAACGAAAAATTACGATTTAACGGTTATTTTAACTCCGATTTTGATGATTTTTTACAGCTACACTCATTGACCCTATATGAATACAATGAATGAATTCGATCTTCAATTTAAAATATTTACACTAGTGGATACCATAAAATCTTATGTTATACTTGATGAAAGTATAAATAAGTGTAGATTTTTAAAAATCTCATGAACAATGTTATTTATTTGAGTGAAAAATTAATAATAATAAGTGTGAAAAATGTAATCACACGTAATGAAAAACTTTACAACGTTCATTAAGGGGTCAACTCCGAAATTTAGTATGTTTATACTAATTTAGTATTATGTTTTACATTTTTTTGGATCAAATTATGTTTTTCTTTTCATTTTTATTGATTTAAAATATAATTTTCTTAACGGGTAACGGGTCGGATCATATTACCTGATAATATTAACGGGTTGATTTCGGGTCGGGTCATATTACCTGTTTACTTTAAAAGGTATTACACGACACGTCCCGTTAAGCTATCGGGTATGACATGAAAACGACACGAACACGAGAAACACGACACGAATGCCAGGTCTAATCTGGACAAACTGTTTCTTATTGAAACCACCTTGCATTTGTATATTTTATGAACTTGGATATGTGGTTGGATTATATATCGTAACGATTGTAGTTGTTTTTTGTGAACCTTCTTTTATGTTATTGGAAAATATTTTGAATTTGATGTATGAAATTTACTATTTTTCTTTGTTATTTGAAAATTTATGTGGTTTTCAATAGGTATAAATATGAGAAAAGTTCAACAAACAAAGAAAGAATTGTTAAATTTTTTTTTTCTCTTGTCCTATCCGGTTCGGTATCAAACACAGTATAAATAATACGGTCATTAATCCGATACTGCACCAAATGCCCGACTAATTTAGTTAGTACTATCTGATGACTATTTATTGTATCCGACAGAAATAGTTAGTACAGTCCGAGCTGCCAAACGAGGCCTAAGTGTAGAGGGAAGCTCCTCTTGATAAAATTAGGGATGAGCAAAATAGCCCTAGGAACGGATACACACGGAACCCTACCCAGTAACCTTTGGCGGGGTGCCGGTACACGTAGCGTCTCCTAAATGTTTTCAGTTTCGACTCCGAGCAAGAAATTTCAATGCCAGTTTCGAATGCAGCACAAATATATCTAATATTTGTATGGCTAGCTTTCAAAATCCAAAATCCATACTTCTGAACCCTTCCATCCAGAAACCTTTCAAGAAACACAGAGAATTGCAAATAATATATAAAAATAATATTTGAGGTACCAGTGTTTCCTTGGGATGAACCATGGAAGAATCAGACCCGTTATGTTATCAGCACGGCAGAAACACATCGCTGCCGATTCTTCACCACCATTGAAACTATGCAAACTATTAGCAACGCGTATGCATCTCGTTGCGGAACTTCTTAAAAGAGTAAGAGAAGAGAAGGGGGAAAAGAAAATCCAATTCACTGGTCAGAAGATTAATTGAAAGGGCTAACAGAACTATTACCTTCCACACGATAACGACGAGCAAGCTACTACTTGTACTGAAAATCTGTAACAAACACAGTAAATTAAAAAGGCAAACCACTCATAGGGCAATCCACCGCTATTCAAGGGTGCCATATTCTTCATACACTGCTAAGAGTCAATTTGCAAAGGCTATCCTCTCTGCCATCGTCACGGAAATGCTACCTCTGGAAATGGATGTTAGGAAATGCTACGATACTACCATTGGACAGGAAGAGAAATTCGGACTCTTCGTTGGGACAAAGTGCCCTGGCCATTTCATCTCCAATTAGGTCGCTATTCCAGCTTTTGTATACTTTTATTTAGTTTTCCTTCAAGAGCTTTCCACTGATCTTGATCCCGCTACCCTACTTTGGGACAATAAGCCATTGAGTGGAATTTAGCCCTCTTCATCATAATCTTCCTCATCCTCATCTAGCCTTCTGCTGAGATTTGCAAGTTGAATAGGATCAATGGCCATTCCATCCACATCAGAGAGAGACCACCCAGGATATTCTTCATGTTTAGGCTCGGTGATAGGTCCAGCTGATGAGGCTTGAGCTGCCGTTGGGGCAGCTTGGGATGCCGATGGGGCAGCTGGGGCTGCTGTTGGGGCAGCTTGGGCTGCTGTTGAGGAAGCTTGGGCTGCTGTTGCGGAAGCTTGGGCTGCTGTTGCGGAAGCCTGGGCTGCTGTTGCGGAAGCTTGGGCTGCTGTTGCAGAAGCTTGGGCTGCTGTTGCGGCAGCTTTTGTGTCATCAGTATCATTAACATCGGCATTCAGATCAAAGTTTCTAACTGCTGGATCAGATTCATCAGGGGCAATGACATTTTCTTTCAATATATCCTTTGACTCGGAAACATCATCCACCACCATTCCAGGGTTAGGATTAGGTTCAGTGATCTGCCGAAGAGATGTGCACGGATCAGATTCAGTCTCATGGTGCGAAGTGTCTCTTTCAGTGGTCCGACCACGTCCACGGCCTCGACCCCGACCCCGACCTCTTCCTCTGCCGCTGCTACTGCTATTTTTTATCTCAAGCTGCAGAGAAAAAGTAAAACAAAGTTTTCAACATCAGTGAAACTCTGCATATTGCATTTAGTTAAAAGCTAATTCAGCCCAAACACAAACAAAACCAACTCAGATCCTCTATTCAAACTTGTATATATAAATTCACAAAATATTTACGTCCTCAACCTGGACATCCTAAAGAAACCAAAAGAGACATCACTCAGATTAAAGAGTTCCCGTGAAAAAAATAGAATGAACACAAAACATCACCGAGATCTCAATATAATAAGCATGGAAGTTGGTTTTATGTTTTTTCTTTTGGTAAAAGGAAATTGGTTTTATGTTTTTTATTTTGGTAAAAGGAAATTGGTTTTATGTTAAGAACAAAAGACAATGATTAATTGTAGGGTTCCATTAGAGTTACCATCTTGCTCCTCTTCAATTCTTCATCACTGTCAATGCCTTCATCACCTGGTGGTTTTCTGCAGAAAAATATATCAGTAAGTAGATTCAAATGACAATCTCATGGATTAATGATATTGCAAATAACAAGAATAGATCATCTAATATACCTTCTTTTTGAAAGGGTTCGGTCATCGGCAGCAGCATCAGAATGACCATGAGTATAGTCAGGAACTCTGCTGACGATGTCCCTCAGAAAATCAAACACATTATAGCTCTGTACACAGTGCTTTCTGCAAACAGGATAGAGAAATAAGATTTGGTTCATGTAACTGGGAGCCACAGGGTACTTTATATTCAACTCTGGAGCAAAATTTTCTTTAAAAGATAATGCAGTAAAAACAAATTTGAGTGAATATTACAACTAGATAATCTTAATTTAGTTTCAGAAAGATTCTTCAGGTGCCAGAAAATTTGAACGGCATAAGTGTAAACATATTATTCAGGTACTAGAAAATATAAGCATATCTCTCCTTAGCCAATTAGATCATTCTTCAGCATGAGCTCTGCAATAAAGTTCAGTATGCTAACTGCATGTTACTATTGATGTGGATTTCTCTAATAATGTTCGTACTTATCCTGAAAAAAATAATTGTATCCATGAACTACGGCTTACTTGATCATCGTAGAATTATAGCATGTTACTATCCAACGTACTGTGTCGATGCTAATGGGTAGGAGAATTCTAATTTAAAGGTTCGATGCTAAAGGAATCCAATTCATTCTCTCATAATTTCATTTATATCCATGTCTTCTGAGGTTGTCATTCGTCCAAAATATACAATTGCTAATTATTTGGCTGGATCTGAAGAAATTTAAGTGATGTTGAGATTGATGAGCTCTATTCTTTTTCTATATTTCATTGAAAATACCATAAAAGATGGGTAAATTGACTCTTCTAGAATTACAGAATATTCCCATGCAAACTCTGTTCTAATGGGTTGACTGATGACCATCCAAAATGATTTGGAAAGATGGACTACCTTGCAAAGTACACATTATTGCTTTGATATGTCTAAAAATTGTACTTGTTCTGATATTCAAAGCAGGAAACCTATATTTTGTACATAACCTTGTTCTAATATTCCTCTATCATTCTGCTGCACTGCAAAAGGTTAAATTGGGTGATTCTCGCTCTTTCGTTTTTGTCTGCTCATTGAGATTTTTTTTTAACCCATCTTTAGGATCTTCGAAGCTGAGGAGGAGGTCGTTAATTGTGGAATAGAGAGTGCACTTCTAAAATTCACTGTGGGAATAGGGTTCTAAAGACTTAAAAAATAGAGCATTTCTCTCTAATTGTGCAAATTGGGAGTTTCTGGATTGAGTTTTTACTGTACAATTGGAGTAATCATTTCACTGCTGTTGTAGTTACTTTACTATAAATTTATTTTGTATAGATCCCTTAAAATTAAATAAGTAAACAGATAAACATCGTTCAATCTTTGACTTACAGATGCACTGCATTCATGGTTTTAGCTCCTCTTTGCAGGGTTATCTCATAGGTACGGTCACAAAGGTCTTGCAAAAATAGCTCCAACGCTTTAGCTGCATAATATGCAAGATGAGTAGTATAAGCAACCAAAAAAGCAAATAAAATAACCTGGTGGGATGGTATTTTACTATTCATGAAGTTAGAAGTACTCACACACTAAAACAGGCACTGCTAATGCTATCTTCCCAACATCTTCATCAGCTTGCATAATCTTTTTAATCCGGGCCTGCCAAATTAAAATTGTGCTTCAGAATGGGGGTCAAATACATGTATAACTTCAGAGGTAAACTAGAGTTAATAAACTAAATTAATTCACGGAAAAAAAAAAAAAAGAGTTAATAAACTAAACATCATTCTTCATTCTTCAAATAGGAAGTACAAGGCAAATAACTTAATTACTACTTCTAGAAATAAAAAAAGGTTGTCAACATACTTCACTAAAAGATACGGGTTTCTCCAAAATTTATTGCATTCCCTACGTGGACACTCTGAGGGTAAATGACAAGTGCCATCAAAGAAATCCTATATAACATAATCCCATACTTGGCACACGAAACATCAAAGAAACTCGGGGAAATTTAAATGATCTTTGCTTTGTCGGTAAAATTCAACAAAATGTTAATATCTCTCACTCTCTCTCTCCCTCTCTTTTCCCCCCTTTTGCTTCCATTCTTTTAAACAGAGAAGGATGGTATTAAGCTAAAGAAAAGTCACGGAAAGGTAACAACAATGGCAAACAACATCGAGGCATAAACCATGATTCTTGACACAATCTCCTTCTCTGAAACGAGATGCAGCAGAACTTCATAAAGTACCAAACTGTAAGTCACTCATTCAAAATTTCAATCATGAAGTTACCAAATGTTTCTGCCATTCCTTTTTTTTTTTATTTATTTTTTTTCCTTTAAGAAAGTTTCAAACATAAGATTCACAACTCTTGATCGCCTAGGCCAGCGGCTTACAGTTACAGAGCTACTCTTGAACCAGAAGTAGCATATGGATAACAAAGTAGTTGAGGAAGTGTAAGCTTCGGTTTTATTACACCCCACGAAATAAAATCCTCTAGTTGTTTTACAATCTTCAAAAATAATCCAAACCCAAATCCAACTTCTCATTTGAAAGGAATATTTTATAAAACAAGACCAGATTTAGCCATCAGGGGCCTCACAAGTTGTCAACTAATCTTGATTAATTTGCAAAACCACATCACCACAAGAGCAACTAAGCATTTTTATCTCCACAAACAAAACCCCCATGATTTAAGTACCAATTTACAAACCCTAGGCGAAATCGTCGATACGAACCAAATCCCAAGACCAAATCAGATAACCCCAAAACAACAAACCCATCACCCAATTCTCCCTAAAACCACAGTCCCATCAAAGAAAAGAACAATACGGCCTAGAAAAACCCGACCCAGATCAAATATCTCAAAAATCCCCACAAAAATTGAAACTTTAACCAAACAATTCAAATCACCGAAACATAATTCATTAATCCCCCTAATTAAACCCACGATTAGCACAGCAAACCTACAACAATCCAAAAATTCTCTTCCTTTCCCTAATTTCCTAGCAACCAAACAAATTAAAACTCGATCTGAGAAAAAAAAACATAAACCCTAGACAAAGGAGCGGAACGAGCGAGAGAAATAGGGTACTTACAGCAGGAAAACGGGTATCGAGCTTCTTCCTCATGGCGTCAGATTTGAAGCATTAATTAAATCGAAAAGGCAAAACAACAAGGAAACCGAAAGAGAATCGAATTTTCAGAGCCGCAGAAGAATGATTGCTGCTTTCATCATTGTCGTATAAAATCCATCGCACCCCTCTCAGATCCGAAACCTTTTTTTTTCTTCTGAAATAAAATTAAAACTATATATAATAATAAGAAAAATACAAACAGATTAAACTGGTTTTTTTGGTTCCAACGGAATATCCGACCGTACGAGTTAGATGAAATAGGAACGCAAACAGAGAGAGATGATAATATTAAGGATCGGATAGACTCGCGGTGTTGGACCTTTTTTTTTTTTTTGGGAAAGTGTTGGACTTAGGACATTGAAGCACCGCTCCACATGCCACTTTTCTGATGGTAGGTATTATTCAAAGTACAAGACATGATTGTACTTGGCTATACAATCTTGACCGTTTGATCTTCAATTGTGGGCTTGTGCCACGTATGATTTTAGTTTTTTTTTTTTTTTTTATGGAAACTATTAAAATAGATTTGAAAATTTTGAGTTTTAAGAATAAAATAAAAGATAAAGTAAATAGTAATGTTTGACTTTTTAGTGTTAAAATATAATTTTTCGTTAAAGTAAACAGTACAACGGATTTTTTTGTTAAAACTCCCTTTATTCTATTGTTAGGACATATTAGTTTTGATATGATTGCTAATAATTAGATTATGAGAAATTGTAAGAATACTCTCTCGACATATGACTCTCTGTCGACGTCCTATCATTTCATAATTTAACTTTAAGTCTTGCTCCAACATTATAAAATATTATTTCTAAAACATAAGTGGAAAATAGTTCATAAATGGTCTCACTATTGAAAGTTTTTTTTTTTTAGACTCACGGTGTTGGACTTAGGACATTGAATCACCGCTCCACATGTCACTTTCTGAATGGTGGGTATTATTCAAAGTACAAGACATGATTGTACTTGGCTATACAATCTTGACCGTTTGATCTTCAATGGTGGGATTGTGCCACGTAAGATTTTAGTTTATTCTATTGTATAGGACATTTTAGTTTCGATATGATTGTTGATGATTAGATTATGAGAAATAACAGTATTATTGGCATTTCAAAAATCTCTATCTATACTCCTCATAAATATATTTTTCTTTTAAATATAGAAACTTTAGAATGTAGAATGAGAATTTTGAAGCCAATAACAATTCCCATTAGAAATTGTAAGAATACTCTCTTCAAATATGACTCTACTATTTCATAATTTAACTTTAAATCTTGTTTTAATATTATAAAATATTATCTAAAAAGTATAAGCAGAAAAAAAATTCATAAAAAATGTTACTTTTGAAAATCTTTTTTCTTTAGATTATTAGTGTTGATTATCTAAAGCATTACTAACATCCACACCGCACGTCCCAACCATACCTGATTCTCATTCGATTTTGTAACGTGGCGGGAAGGCAGTGGCTGTTTGACAGGAAAAAACAACAGTAATTCACACACCTGATTACTATGTCCACGCCGTGACGCCGCACTTCCCAACCCTTCCTCCTCTATCGTTCTCTCTCTGTCTCTCGCTCCGCCTTCCTCCACCGCCCTCCTCACCGAGTCCTCAGTCACCCGCGCCCTCATATCCCCGTCGCCTTTGTAAAACTCCGTCACTGAGCTCCCAGCCACCTCCGAATCCTCTCTCATCCTTCTATGGAGATATAATTCATAGATATAAGAGATGGATGCTAAAGCCAGGAACAAGGCGCTGTTTCCTGCGAAATTGAATGCCCATAAGAAGGACAAGCGCATGGACTCTCCTCTCGTGCGGTCAGTACCCACGCCTTCTGTCTTCAATTTTTTTTTTTTTTTCTCAGTGTGTATTTATGTATATGTGTATATATACATAAATACTAGAGGTTATGGAGTTTCAGTGTAATGTAGTTATCATTATTAAATTGGATTCTGTAGAACCCTTTTCGTAAATTTTGTGTCTTGTAGTTGGTTCTATGATCACCATATTCTTGAATGCTTAATTGATGTATGTGGTTAAAAATTGTGTTCTCGGAATTTGATCGTGTCCAAAGCTTTTAGTTTATGAAGTACAAAGTACAAATTTGGTTCGGCAGTCCGTTTCTTGTTTGTACGAAACTTATGATTTGAAAGGAAACTTATGAGAACTGGTTTAGTTAGGAATAGGATTTAGCTGGGAAAATGCTCAGTAGGGAACAACCTAACTTATATTTTCTCAGAATGCATCTTGAACTAAAGAGATTTATCTTGACATTGTTTACTTCCACCTTCTCGTTATGTATATTATCGTTGCTGTACCTTTTATTGGAACTTTTTGCTTATTACTGGTTCTGTTCTTGTGTTGGCATATATAAATTGCTAAGCCAGAGTTCCTGACCGCTTCTTTATGTCCTTTTTTGTGATACATACAGGTACAACGAGTCTGACCAGCCTGTGTGCAGGGTTTGTGACAATACTCTGAAATCTGAATCCCAGATGCGCATAAAGCATCGCGTAAACATCGTGAGGTGATCATTGTTCATTTAGTACTTCCTTATTTGTAAAATTAAGAAACTAAGAGGCCTAGACAAAAATCTTGTATCGTAGAAACTTCGAAGTTGATACGAAGGATGCAATTTTTTGAAATAATTTGAAAGGGTTACTGCAGCATTTTCCCGGCTTCTTGAAATATAACAAACTCATTTGATCTCAATCAAATCATGTATTGTGAATCTGTGATGGTGAAACATTAAAATACTGCTGAATTCAACCTGGCCATTGTAGCTTCTAAAATGTTGTTTTGTTATTTCTTTTCATTATTTTGTCTATCATCTCCCTCAGAAGCTTAGGGCCTATCCCATTTACTAATTACGGGCAATAACTGATATTGTTCGGTTACTAGATCTTCTTGTATACTAATTTGAGTTGGATATCCCATATGTCAACTTACATTCAATCCATATTTGGTGGAATGATGAAGCATTTCCTTCTTTACACTTTCTAGGCTTGAAGCTGTGATGGGCTGGGGAAGTAGGTGACTTTAGCGTTCAACTTACATTTAGTCTTAGATGGAGTTCCTTATTCTTTTTCTTTAATATATCTATCTGAATGAGTATTACTAATAGAATGTTTGTATTGCTTTAGGCCCTAAGTAATTTCAAAGCTACAGCTGCTGGACTAAACCGAGTCAACAACGCAAAAGCTGAAGCGCGTCCGGAATTGCCAAAATCTAAGCCTGAACATTCTGTCGAGTTGCATATACCAGGACCTGAACGCTCTACACAATTGCCTAGAGAGCAGTTGTCATCTGAGCTTCCTCCAGATTTTTTTGATAACCATGATGCAAAAAAGCAAAATACAGGTGAGAATACGAAACCTATATGTTTTTCTATATGACCGTTACCACCTTCTCATTGCTTTGTGTGATTGCCTAAGCAGTAAGGACAAAATCAGTTTGGACAGAGATTTATTTATTTTTATTATTTTTACAATAATGTAGGTGATGTCAAAACGATAATTAACAGAAAGCCTAAAATGTAATTTTGGTCATAAGCACAATACCAGAACAGAAAATCTGAGTAGAGGATTGATATTTGTGTTATTTTGGAATTAGTTTTGAACTGTTGATCGTTTTCTTTTTATGAAATCTATTATTCTTTCTGACTTAACAATATCATCGTAGGAAGGGAAAAGGTGCAGACAATAACTATTGAGCCTGCCAGGGACCTTACACAGACATCATCACAGATTGCCAGTTCAGAGGCCAAGCAAATTAAGGGAGCTCTTCCTGAAGGCTTCTTTGACAACAAGGAAGCTGATTTATCTGCACGAGGAATAAAGCCTGTTAAGCAAGATGTTAAGTAAGTGCACTTTTTTCATTAACTCCTAGATTGTAAAGGTGCTATTCTGGAAAGTTCTCTTCTTTGTTTTCATTTTCTAATCTAGTATGAGGTCCTTGCAATGGTTCAAAAATTCTAGTAATATACTTGTTCATGATATTGAATCTGAAAAGGTTTAATGGTTCATAATTTGGATGCGTGTTCTTGATGTACACCTTGGATAGAGAGAGAGAGAGAGAGAGAGAGAGGGAAATGTTCCCTAGTTCATATCTAGGTAGTCTTGTATGGCTCTGTTAATTGGTCATATCATAATTTGAATGCATGTTCTTGATGCATTTAATTTAATGGAGAGGAACGGAAAATATGCCCGGTTCATTCTTGGGAATTCAATTTCGTTTGGCTCTTTCCAATAGTCCTCAGCAGTTTACACAAGTTCTGCCCATTTGAAGCTGTTCGCTTCCCCAAATTACCATCTGGTATTTTCTGAAGGACAGTGGTAATAGGCTATTTTGAACCTGAGAAAATTGGAACAGGCGTAATTTGTAAATGAGTAATACATGAAGATATTGCCTTGAAGATAGTACACATTAGAGGTTCTGCGCCTAATATGAGCTTATAGTAAAATACTTTAGGAAAAAAAAATCCAGTACCACTTCACTTCCTACCCAAAAAGGAAGCCATCCTTTGCTGGTGGTCAAAGTGTTGAATTCTGCTGTGGTAGGAAGCCATAGTTATTATGATTAATAAAAATCTAAGAACATTTACCCTTGAATTCTCCAGTCAGTGGTTTCCACACATGGTTTTCCATTGACTCAAGGCCGTCCCTCACTTATTGTCCTGGGATTTTCTGTGTTTGCTTGGCTTCTCTTTCTTTTTATAGTGCTTGTGGTTTATGCTGCCATGGGCTCAATTTGAAGTGTGAGACTAGTTGAGTATGAAAACTGTAAGAACTTTTGTGTGAGAAATGGTCCAAACCATTTAATAAAGGAAATATGGTTATAGTATACGTTATATACATTAAGTACACATTTAATATAAAGTGAGAAAACCATTGTACTTGTACAAATTATGGATGGAAGACAGTTACAAAACTTGAAGAAAACTGACAGCAACTGCTACCATGATAGGTGGAGCAGTTGCATCCTATAAGTCAGGTTTTGATCCCCTTTCTCGGGTAAGTTACAGGGTTCTCATAATGTGAATGCTCGCCCTATCGAGAGTAAGAGTTCCATTCCGTTTCCAAGAGAAAGGAAGGTCCAAATCTCATCTCAATCATCTCGTCTACAACAGCAAGTAAGTTCATCCGTAGTTTCTGCAAAATGATGATTTAATAAATATTATGACTAGTACAAAATGCATGCGTGTATATGAGTTTGTAGTTCATCATGCAGGGTTGATCTTGATCTCTGAATGAAGTATATAATTAAGTTCAACAAAAACTGCTGATTGATTGTAGATATCATAACATGGTTTTTTATAACGAGTTTCAACATTTACTATGATAATTTTCCAAAACTAAATTTAAGATTTGCATGGGAAGTTTGTTATTTGAGATTTGTAGTTTTGGCATTATTGTACATAATATATCGAGTCTCTTAGGTTTAATATGAAAGCATTGTGACCTTGAGTTTGTATTTACTGTATGGCAGAGATGAGTACAGAGAATTTGAGAAGTTGATACAAGAGGACTTGAAGGAGGTCAATAATCGTATGGAAGAAGAGGAGGTGAGGGTTTTCATGTTCTTGCACTGTTCATTTAGTTTTTTTTTTTTTACATTTACATGGATGTTGACTTGCGCATACTCATAATTCTTTTCTTATTGTAATTGTGCTGCAGATTGATGCTGCGGAGACGATAAAAGAGGCTGAATCAGTGGACCAAAGGTTAGTGCAGCAATAAAATGTTATCGTTCTAAACATTCATTTTGTTTTTTGCAACTCAATTTTCTTTGCTTTTAGTTTTTACCTTCTTCGTTCTCCTTTTGTTTTTCAGGCATATAGCGAGAAAGTGGAATCGTTGAAAAAGAAGAAACTGGAACTGAAGGCTGCCGGTGCTGCCAAGCGTAGAAGAGTTTCTGAGGTTTTAAAAAAGGAGCCTAGTCACAATGAGTCATCGAGTGATAGTGAGACGGATGAGAATTTTGCAGTGGACTGGAGAGCTCAACGTTTGTGAATGCTCTTGGGGTCTCCTTTACAATCCGTTCTTTACATTTTCGAAACGCCCTAACCTAATGTGCCAAGTAATTGGTTTTTGGAATCCTTGTGCCTCTCTCTAACTGCAACAGGGCATGTATATGTACGACGGGGAGGGAGCGAATGTGAAGGCTAAAATGTGCACCCAGCTCATTTGGATATCCCCACAATGTTAAGAAGGAACAATGCGTTGTGGAAAATATATTTTCCGATCGACGACTCGATGTACTTATTTGTAGCTTAAATTTTCTTACAAGCAGAGGTGGAGAAATATATTTACTTGAAATGCGGCATCACTAAACTACGCATAGGCTAACAAGTTAATACATTTTTATTCATATTGAATGGATTAACAATTATTAGAAAAGTCACTATCACAAAGGGTTAAATTGACTTGTATCATTCTTTTCGTTTTAAAGTTGAATATTGATAAATTTAAGGGTTTTTATCACAACTAGTTTTTGAAATTGACCCATTCTATAAAGATGGTCTCTGAAATTGAGGACCTATCAATTTAGTCCTTGAAATGAGTGTTGCAAATCAATGTGATCCTTTTGTCATAAAGAAAAAATTAGGTTAAATTCATTTTTTAATAATTTTGGGTTTAAATCTTAAGCCAAAATTATTGGGGGAGAAATGCTATTTTTGGGTTAAAACCTAAATTTTCTAGGGTTTAAACTCAATCATTGAAGTTGATATAAGGCTATCTCAAATGGATTGAGATATTTGACTTTAAATTTGACTCAATTCTTCTCCAACGCAAATTTATATTTGACTTTAATTAAGTATAATTCTAGAGTTAAAAATGGGGCATAACACCATAGTTTGCGAAGTTATATTTAGCCTTAATTTGATTCAATTCCTCTTTAATGAACAAGATTTAAACGATAAAGGTTAAATTTGACTCCGTATACATTGGAGATGAAATAATTTGCACCATCACATTTGATGTCAAATATGACTATATATAACTTTGATATTATGAGTGGAGTACGATTTACACTCTCAAAATGACTTGAAGAGGAATGTACATAACATTCTTGGTTTCCATGCACGCAGTAATTACTTATTACCAAGTTCAGTTTCCATGTTCAAATCCAGTACAAGCTACTTAAAAATTCGATGCACTGATTGCCACCCATATAACACTCAGTATAGAAGGTTGCCAAACATGGCATCCATTTGATTGGACAGTCTTGATTAATTACTTGTTCTAACGAAAATGGTCTAAAACCAACTTTTTTAATCCATGGTAGTATGAAACACCTCTTATGGCACACAGATTACAAAAGTTAATTTCTATTTCATATTCTTCCATTTTCTTAGCAGCCTAATATTTATTACAATTTAATCACCTTCTTAAAGAAAAAATAGAATTTATAAATCATACATTCGAATAGAGTCGTGATATTTCAAAATTTCAAAAAAAAAAAAAAAAAAACCAATAAAGGACACAGTTTATCCTTCGGATTTGGATGGCAAATAAGTTGATGTATATGCATCTTAATTCCATGTTTACAATGAATACTATTGATACGTTTTAGGAATTATATATACTATCTTTTTGGGATACTAGCGTTAGTGACGAATAGTTTTCACTGTGCATGCATTAACCTCTAGATATGGAAAGTACCTGCAAGTGTTTGGTTAAATTCTTGAACTTATCTGCATACAACTCACAACCTTCAAAATTAAGGCCTTGTCATATCTAGTGTAATCAAAGCAGGATTTTCTGTTTAATTTGTTTCCCTATATTAAGTTGCATGATTTGTGCTAAGCCAAACTAGGTAGAAGGAAAAACAAGTAACCTTCAAATTTTGAACTCTTGATTGGAAATGTAACATGGTAATTATAATGAAAGGGTAAATTAATAGTTCAATGCAATATATTTTTTACTGCTGCTGTTGAACAATTTTTTAACTTGTCTCTGTTATTTATTTTTTTTTTGTATTTTTTTATCCTTGTTTAATAAATTATTTATCTTTTAATATTTTTTAACTAAGAGATTTTAAATGTTTCATTGTAATCGATCAAGTTTATTTCTTTCAAGCCCAAAACTAGAGGAAGAGAGATTAATTTGTGACCATTTGATGATATAATACATTTGTTATGATCGAACTACTAAATACTTTTATTATTGTTTTTTTTTTTTTATGAGCGGTATAATATTGATTCAAGAAAACTAATACAACATGAAAAACAAACTGTATATCATAATCGTACATTAAAGAGGAGGTTATTTTTTTCTCGACACCATTAGTTGTGTGCCACGTGAGCAATTTTCAACTGAGCCTGTTTATTGATTAATATAGTACACGTGGAGGACCGATGCTAGTATTTTTTCACTTAAAATTTTACACTTAACTAGATGGATGTACGTGCAATTATGTTAAAAAAGAACGTTTACCAATTTTCTATATAATATTGTTAATTATTATTTTCAATGCATGTTGTAACTTATTACCAAGTAGGGTTTTGGTTGTTCAAATCCAGTATAAAGCTACTTAAAAAGTCGATATTGCCACCCGTATGAAAACTTATCAGTACAGAAGGTTGACATGTATACCTGCATAAATAGCCGGAATTATATTGTACTTGCAATTTTTGTTTGAATGATATAATTATTGTAGGGGCAAAGCCTTGGCCATGAAGCCGAATCTCAGCAAAAGCCAAATCTCAGCAAAAGCTTAGTCACCACTTTAATCCTATGCTATTATAGTGCATATTACAATTACGATATGAGATTTCTTTCCAAACATGAACGATAAGCATTAACTCAAACCCTTAATAAAAAGGAGTTGATGTCTTCAAATCTTTTCATCAAACCCAAAATTTCTTTTCTAATTAGTTCAAGAGATGGCTGAAGAACATCAAAGCCCTTCCGAAGCCTCTAACATCTCAGGGGCCACAGATGGCACTCCACCACCCAAAAAAGATAGCCCTCCTCCTCCCCTCCTGACCTTCCTGACCAAAAAATGAAGATGAAAATGAAAGAAAAAATCATCATCGATGATTCTGATGATGAACAACCCCAACCCAAACTCAAAAAGCCATCCGCGGCAGCCGGATCATCCTCATCACTGACACCGAGTTCACGTGCCTTGCTTCATCTGAAGCTTTCCAACAACGACCCTGGTCATGCGTTAGGGTCGTCGAAGGAACTCGTTCTGTTCAACCCTCTGAACCAGGATTCATCATTGAACCCAGAGGGATTAGAGTTATTGTCTCAACACAACGAGCCAAGAAACGAGAGCCCGCGTGGTGGTGATGGGAGAAAACCCCGAACTAGGGCTTTCACATGCAACTTTTGCAAGAGAGATTTCTCTACTTCCCAAGCATTGGGAGGTCATCAAAACGCTCACAAACAAGAGCGTGCCTTGGCCAAAAGGCGTCAAGGAGGAATAGGAATGGACAATCTCTTTGGACATTCCTATCGTTATCATAGTCCATATTTAAGTATCACTCAACACCCTCTCTCTGGATCTTATGGTAGATCTCTTGGGGTTAGGATGGACTCCATGATTCACAAGCCTTCTTATCCATGGTCTGCCTCGACATTCGGGTTCGGGCGCTTTGGCCATGGTATTGGTGCTGGGAGTTGGTCATCATCAAGGCCAGGAGGCCTCATGAATAACTTTCAATCCTCCATTGATAGGCTCAACCTTCATGGCCTTCATGCTAATACTACTCAAACATTAGGGCTTTCAGGAAACAGCAGTGCTTCAAGGTTTGATCAGGAAATTGGTTCTTCTCGCAACTTTGGTGGTTCAAACTTCGGAATCAACAGGCCAATCATTGCTGGTGATGTTCTCCGCCATGAGCCTCTGGAACCCGATACAGATGCTTCTGGACTCGATTTGTCTCTTAAGCTTTAAAGTAGTTGTTGTTTGTTTGTTGTTGCTGTTAAATTTTATTTATATAGAACATAGACACAGTGTTGGTTTAAATTCGATTAGTTTGCTAGTTTGTTTGAGTGCTTTTATTTGTATTTCCATCCACAGATAATTTGTACTTTAGAATATTGTTATGAAAGGTTATGTTTATTTCTTGTATTTTGATTGTATTCAATGTTCTGTTGGTTTTATTTTGTTTCCAAATGATCACATAACAGTGATGCTTTTAATAGAACATGAGTCTGTGTATGCGTTTCTATTGCACTCAAATTATCATACGATTTATGTTAGTATAAACCTCTCATAAACTTACTGATCTTTTAAATTTAATGTCCTGGAAATTATATATTCATTTGATCGTGGAAACGTTTATGGCCTTCAAAACTTCGATCTTGTGATTAAAGCTGATCGACTATTAATCAAAATTTCGATTACAAAAGATCATTCACTCTTTGTTTGAGGGGATTGCTTGTTTTTAGAACATTTTTTTAAAGAGATTTTTATATAAATCTAGTCCTCATCAGGACGCTACATATAATGAAAAGTTTTATGAACCCTTGTTTCTTTGACAAAATAATTAAGTGGCTTAATTATTTCCTTTTCCTATGAAGGTTAATGAACCCTAAACCCTAATATATATATGAGAAATTTTCGAGTGTATATATGCGGCACATTGAAAGGATGGTAAAATTAACAAACACGTGGAGTTCGGAGCAAAGTCAATCAAACCAACCTAAGATTGACATGTTTGTTTGTGAGCCTTTGATTCATTGCATCTTGCATATGGAATCATAAGTTCTTAGGTGCATATAGCTAGCACTTAGTTGTCATTCCTTTATCATTGTTTTTCCATGAAATATTATAACAATATGGTAACAATTACGTTGTTGGGATTATCCTTAATTAGAGCAAACAAAGTAAGTATTCATCGTCATGTCCAACCTGGAGGTCAATCAGGTCCAAACTGATAATGAAGAGACTTTAAAAATATATGACCAACAAAAAAGGAGGTTTTGAAAATAATTAGAATTATGCTTCAAGTCAACTATTATTTTGCAAAGAGAGCTGCTAGACCCACCCCGTTATTTTATTTCCTCACCCACGTTATATTTACACCCACTATAAAAAGTTAAAAAAGTTAAAATGTTATTTTCTCACCCACTATTATTCCTAAAATAACCCTATATATAATTAGAGATAAATTTATCTTAAAAAAAGAATATAAACGAATAATATTACTCTCTTCTAAAAGCAAAAATAAAAAAATAAAAACTGTTTCCTTTCCAAATTCCAACTGGAGTGGGAATGAAGAATTATGGGTTTTCATTCATTGCTTTTCCCCTTTTGTTTTATTTTTCATATGCATTTCCCCTTTCTAAATTCCAAGGGCACATCCAAGGAAAAGTTCAGAAATAAAGAAACAAGAATATATATTTGTTTTCGAAGTTCACTTCGGTTTCAAAATTAAAATAATTAATTGAAACCAAATGTTCGAAAACGAACCCAGGATGAAGCAATGGAGTTCATCACCATCAAAAGGCTTTGAAACAATGTGTGCCCAGTATGAAGCAAATGGTGTGAGATTTGTGTTTCACCTTCTGGTTATTCGAAGGGCAATTAATTATAAAAAATTCAACAATACTGTAGAAAGGAAAGAGGGAAACGGTTATTCAAGAAAACTCATTAAAAAAACAAATCTACCCTAACCTAATGAAACAAATTGCACCCTAACCTAATGCAAATTCAAATAAAAAGTCATGCGATGCTTCAATTGTACGATGTCGACAAATCAAGATGACCCACATAAAATTATCTTTTACCTCTTTAACAAAAACATAATCATCTACTTCTTCCATAGAAACGTCATCTTCTAACTTCATTCTTTTTGCTTTCTCTAAATGATTTTGCTTTCTTTGAATGAAAGGAGAGAGGAAGGATGAGTTAGGATTTAAGGCAGACAAATTTTCTAAACATAGCGTGAGAGTTATCATGCCCAAACTTTTTTTTTCTTTTCTATAAAAAAAATGTAATGCAAAAGGGGGTAACTAAGGTCCTTATTAGTCATTTTACAAATGGACAAATTTGTAATTAAAAAATTCATAAAAAAGTGGATGGGAAGATAAGACATTAGGGTGAGAATAACACCTCTCTTTTGCAAATCTAAACTGAAATTCAGAATAGAAATGTGGGAAAGCCAGTATAGGATTGTGTATATTAAACAATCCCTGAGTTCACAAACTTATTTCTCCATCTTGCATTGGTTTCTTCAGTTTTATTAGGATTGCCTTTCATCGTTACAGCATTTTTTTTTTCTTTTCATTCCTTTATTTTTTCAATGAAAAATTATACAACATTTTTAAAAGTAATTTTATAACAGAATAACGTACTTATAAGCGGAAAAGACAACCCATACGGATATGTGGGCTAACCACAATAAATTGTAACTCAGTACAAATATATATTATTCTTGTATTTGTGTGAGCATCTATCTCAAAATGTTTCGAGCTCTCAATATGTATGTACATCTCTCATTCGCTTCTTTAATTCCACATTGTTGATAGAATGGTAAGCTTGTTTGTTTTGTTATTTGTGGGTTGATTTTCATTATTAATTCTGTTATTTTTGAGAATTTATATATATAGCGCGAAATTCAAACGGTTTCTTGTGTGCGTCGGGTAACTTCGAATCATGCGCTATAAACGTATAAGCTGTAAATCATTAAAAATATCTCATTGTGTAACATTCTTATAAGCACCAAACTTTGTTCACCTTCCTGTTTACTAATTAGCATGGTTCAGTAACTTTGTTCAAACTTCCAGTTACTGTGCGACTAACGTCATAAGCAGAATCCTATGAAAATTCTTGACTATGTACAGAATGCTTTACCTTTACCTATTCTATAGTGAAAGCCGAAAGATGATGGTGTAACCTAAAATTTTAATAAACTTACGAGTATTTATTCTAGTAAATTTATCAAACTGAGCTTTGCTATAATTAACGCGGGGGGATCAAAGTAAGCTATTTACACTCCGTTAACTCCATACATATATCCTGGTGGTTTCTCCTCAGGCTCTTTACATGCGAAAGATCTCCTCAGGCTCTTACTTTCGTGTCTGCAAATACAGACACAGTCTTGTAAGATCCCTTCTAGTTTTAGATGTACTCTCAGTTCCTCACCATGGTAGTGTCCCTTAAAATAAATTTATGTACTTCTGCTCTCTTCCTTTACTTTGGCCACTCGCTCTTTGGTCTAAGCACATAAGTTTATGATGATTCATAATAGTTTTCACAGAAAGGTTGGCTTCAAAGCTAGGGCAGCAAGCAGATATGCTGGGAACGAGCATCTTGGCCTTGGCTCAAGAAAACGCGCGGTGGCTTATGTGTTTTCTTGTTAACACATCTCGAATGTACTTCTCTATTCATAATCACGTTTCTAGCATATTCCCTGGATTGTCCTTTTTCAGTGATCCCAAAATCAAGCTGTTGGAACTTTTAGCTTGAGTTATATGTTTAAGAGTTGAGAAGTTATATATTGACTTGCTCCTCGCTAATGACTTGTGCACGTTTGTTCTTATGGAATGTATCACAGATAAGGTTAAAGATTTGTAACAGGCCGAGTCTGCTGCATTTATGGAAAGTAGCACTCTATTAAACATTACTTAGTAATGCAAACAACAATATGCTTGTAAGAAGCTGTTAGTAATTTAGTATTAATAATCTGTTGAAACAGATTTATACTTACTTTCTTATGTTTTAGGAACCAAGGGGTACTTTCGTACATTGAAATTTCCTGATCTTCTGGAGATGGATTGTAGTATGAGTTGATCTATGGTAGAGTTAGATTTATTGTATAATATTTGGTCAATGTAATTTATGAACTTTCATGGTGCAGATGGTATTTTCAAAATTTTATACTCTTTCAAAAGCGGTTTGATATTGATATTTAGCCAGCAACAGTGGTTGAAAATGACCACAATTGTCCCTTGGCCGACCTTGCTGTTACATAATTCCGTTCCAGTGCTGCACTCGCTCCCAAACACCAACTTTTGAACGCTAAATCTCACCTACATGATTTTCCTGCTCAAAAGACATTCAAACCTTTCAAATGTACAGAAGTAGTAGTCTAGTCGCATGTTTGAAGACTTGATGAGCAGTACTAATTAAGTAAAAAATTAACGTGTTGATTATAGACGAACTGCAACAGTTAGATACAAGTTTCTTGTGGAATCCTGTTCCCTATTGCATAACAAATGCTAAAATTAAAGAATTGAGAACAATAATTTCTCTGCTTCCTATCCTAATTTCAGCAATGACACTCACCTTGTTTACGAGGGTAAATCCTAATATGATACAAGTATTTTGTTTTTTATTTTTCCTTAACATATATACTTCATACTTGTTTCGATTTTTCCATGAACAGGAGGAACTCTGTAATATTCTGGCATTGTTGCAGGAAAGAACATCTGTCTAACTCCTTCGTCTTTAATAATTGGGAATATGATTCCTAATGCACTCTGAAAATTGAAAACCAATAGATTAGTTAGCAATTCATGTTTGTATGACTTATGTAACGAGCTTGCTGATGAGAAAGTACTGGCAGAATGAGTAAACAAACCAAGGTCAATCTAGCCCCCAACCACAAGCTTTTCGGTGTAGGGAATGGAATCATTAAGAGGCCGACTCCATAGACAGCCATAGCAAAGAAATGGAGAAACAGGCTGATTGGACGAGTGTTAAGACGAGAGTAGAGATATTGGTCCATTTGAACAGACGCCTCCGAGGCTCAAATAAGACAGTTTCGTGTCATTGTCATTTTTGTAAATAGCATAACCAAACACTTTCTGAGCAACAATGGACTCATTAGCACAATCTTCAAGACCTAATTCAATCAAACTTGAGATAGCCTCCAGGTTGCAACAGTTCAAAAATTCTGTCCGGCTCGCTTAGGTCCCTTCCGATCACATGTACACGCCGTCCTTCCTATATTTATTTAACACAAAGCAAAACTCATGGTTAATTACTCAGCCTTGTAAAAACTAATGATATTTACAACCGGCCGCTCGGGAAACCAAAGTTCTTCAGTGTGAACAAGATTAACATTGTTTGGACTGCACTATTGGAATTAGCTCCCAACATAGGCAAATCAAATAGAAGAGAATAAAGGAATTAGCTTATTTAAAATTCTAATTAGTTTATTACTCTCTTAGACAAATGTTAGTGAGAAACATTTAAAAGCACGTTTAGAGGGCAGTATTAATACTGTAGTATGGTCCATAAATATTGCTTTTCCCTTTAAAAACGATTCTCAAGTATTTTCAACTATGAAAGTGAGTTTTGAAGGACTCGTTCATATGCATATCTTATTAAGAAAATAAATCAATCAATAATGAATAAAAATGTCAGAAAAACACAGCTTCAAGTTTTGCTACTTAGCTTAATGATCTGGGTTGCTGAGGAAAATAAAGTTGAAGAAAAAAAAAAACCTGGAAACCTTGACCATAAACTGATCAATAGAGAATATCAAGATAAAGAGAGAGATATAAGATCACCTTGCCAAGAGTGTAAGCAAGAGCAGCACCAGCAACTCCGCCTCCGACAATGACAACGTCGGTACTTTTCTCAATCTCGGGCGTAAGAAAAACACCGGTTGCCGACACATTTGCCGAAAGTGTAGTTTATGATGACGAAGAAAACACAACTCAACAGAGAAACCAAGACACCAGCAAGAACATACTCGCAAGCCATATTTAATTAATATTTTCTTTGATTTCTTTTCGCTGTGATTTGTAATCTGATTTCGCTGTGATTTGTAATCTGTGAAAGTGTTCAATGCTGATGATTGTTATGAAACAGCAATGGAGACTGAATGCGCTTATATAGAGTTAAGTATTCTCAGTGGCGGATTCAGGATTTCAAGATCGGGAGATATCAAGATAAAAGTTCAAAAAAAAAAAAAATATTAGACTAGTTTGGTTTCATAGCACTATTTTTTATTGAATATGGTTAATTGAATAATCAAAATTAATCAACCACATCAAGTAGGTCAAGTGGTAATGGCGCGGATTTCGGCTCTTAAAATACAAAAAACAGAGAGGTCCCAGGTTCGAGGCTCCAAGCTAGTGAGTCTGCTTGATTGTGGCCAGAAGAAAGCTGAAATGATGGATAAATAATAATAATCAAGATTAATCCCAAAGGTAATAAAATCAATAAATTCTCCTCAGCAACATAACGCATCAATTAATGACTTTACAAAAATGAAATTTGTTACTGTAACATATATATTACAATTGGGAGTTGAAACTAGAGTTTATGATTAAAAAACTTATATGAATTTGGAAGAAATAAAATTAGGCAGCTAGAGGTGGTGGAACAGTAAATGGTGCTAGGGGATGGGGTAACTTGGGTTTAAAGTTGCGAGGTAGCAACGATTTGAAGGATTAAAACAAAAATTAGAAACCTCTTCTTCTTCTTTATAAGCATTGTTGCATGCACATCCATGGAGGCAACTAGCCTCTCCGCTGCACTTGCCTAAATTGTTAGCGGGTCTCGAAGATCAATCACAAGTGTTTCTTCATGACTTTACAAAAATGAAATTTGTTATTGTAACATATATATTACAATTGGGAGTTGAAACTAGAGTTTATGATTAAAAAACTTATATGAATTTGGAAGAAATAAAATTAGGCAGCTAGAGGTGGTGGAACAGTAAATGGTGCTAGGGGATGGGGTAACTTGGGTTTAAAGTTGCGAGGTAGCAACGATTTGAAGGATTAAAACAAAAATTAGAAACCTCTTCTTCTTCTTTATAAGCATTGTTGCCTGCACATCCATGGAGGCAACTAGCCTCTCCGCTGCACTTGCCTAAATTGTTAGCGGGTCTCGAAGATCAATCACAAGTGTTTCTTCGAGCTTTTGGAGGGTCTCAGGACATCCCGGGTCCCTATATGGATCCGTCCATGTTGGGCAAATTAAGGATAAAGCTTCTGTGTAGGCGCCTACCACCATGACTACTTTGCTAATAGGCATGTGGGAATAAATGTACGAAATAAAACATTTTTTTTAAAATTTTTTTATAAGCATATATAAAAGTGGTTCACGCATGATTAAATAAGCAGTCATACCTTTGTTTTTTATATTTGGAAGTATAATGTTCAATTAAATATGGAGAGTAGAGACATCAGATCAGACATGAGAGCAATGGGGAAGTTGGGTCAAGTTATAGGTGTTGTGGACAGCAGACTTATACTTTGTCAAAGTACTCGCTAATAAAATATTTGTCATGACATTTTGTTTATCTTTTATTTGGGGAATTAATTGGAATCCATTTCTTACCATCTCAATGGAAAGACTTTTTTACTTTATTATAAAAAAGGGAACTAGCTAATGGTTTTCCCACGGTAATCTATCTTTCTACGAGCTGTGAAGACTCATAAAGACATTTCAGCCTTTAATGGAAAGACTTGAGTAACCTGCCACTAAAGAACGAATTCATTCAAATAAACTTCGAAGTTTAGGGCAGTTTACTTATCAGTAAAGCATAATTAAGGAATCGGATAATCTAGTAAAAATTTGGATGAACATAAAACTAATTAGGATGAGAGTCGAAAACATTAACAATATTAACACCTACTGACCTAGTGGAATTTAAACACTTATCTTATGTCACACCAGCAGTTTAATAAATTAAATAAAGAGACGAGTACACAAATTTTTTTGAGCTAATTATATTTTACACCCTTTAAGTTAGAAGTGATTTCGAATTGGGCTATAAGGTTTTAACTTTTTCATATTACACCCTGAAATTTTAAAACTGTTCAATTTATGTCTTTTGTCTAACAAATTATTTGAATTCTCATTAAATTGTGGACATGGTGAGTGTGGAATCCGTAATTGGATGGACATGTAAGCCACATTTGTACCAAATTCACTAAAAACTCTCAATTTAATGGAAAATTAGACGTTCAAGCAGAACAAAATGTGTAAATTGATATAATTTCAAGCAGACTTCAAACCTTGAGAGTGTAAATATAGTTAGTCCAAAATTTACTTAACGAGGTAAAACTCCGACACGCAAGCAAAATTCTCTGCATACAGCCACGATAAAAATCTACTAAGGAAAAATCAAGACTCGGAGAATGTTTTTGGTTGTGGATAGAACCACTAAAAAGACAGTTTCATCATTCTCATTCTACAAGCTATACTCCATCTCGTTACCAAACCCTAAACCAAAATCCCTAGCCGGCGGCCCTTTGCTCTGGCTTGGGGCCGATGGCAGCCTCCCTCCTCTTTTTCTAGCCTTGCACATGCATTTTCTCATGGATTGCATCATATCTAATTTTCATTTTAGTATTGTTCGTCAACAACTGCATCCTCAGCTCAAGAAAAGGAGAAAGGGGTTGCTTATGTGTTTTTCTTGTTAATATAAGTGAAGATCATGTCCCTTTTGACATTTGATGGATGAAAAATTGGAAGCCGAGCCAAGCTCGAATCTCTGTTTGTCCATAATCATTAATAAACTGAACAAGGATTTGAATTTGATGCAGTTCATGATATGCTTGACATTGCTTTAGGTTTGTCAATAAGGCCGAAAACACACACATCCGAAAATTGAGCTGTTGGCATTCCTATCTCACACCTCCTACCTGATTTGGATGTTATAGTGTTCTCGTGATGTGTTTATCGAATTTAAAGTTAGTAACTGGCTATTCAATTTTGGAATTGTTAGTTTGAGTTTCTATGTTTAGCAGTTGAGAATTCGTTGACTTGTGGTTCCTCGCTAATGATTTGTGCAGCGCTTGTTCGTATCGACTATATCAAAGATAAGGCTAAGGATTTGTCACAGGCCGAGTCTGCTACATTCATGGAAAGTTGCACTGTATTAGACCATAACCTCGGTGATGTTATTAGTCTCGAAGATATAACGACTTGTATTCGTACCGATTCAAGAAAGGGACCAATGAAAAGTTTAGATCTGGCAACAAGTTCTCAGTATTGTTTGGTAATTGCAAACTACAATGCCCCAGTTTCGGTGCACTGTCTAGTAATTAATGCCAATACCAATATGCTTCTAAGAACAACAAACGAGTCCTTTTATGCCGTTAGTAACTAAGTATTAATAATGTGTTGATAGCCATTTGTATTTCTTAAGGGTACTTCCGGTGGTGTTTCCAGAATTTTAAACTATTTCTAAAACGTATTGATATAGTTTCATAGCTGGCAAACAATGACACCAATTTTCCCTTTGGCCAACCCCATTGTCACATAATTACCTTCAAATGCTGCACTCTCCCAAACCCAGCAACCTTGGAACGTTCACGCTAATTCTCACCCGAGTTGGAATAAGCATGATGTTTGTATCGTTTACCAGAAGTATTTTCCCAGCCTTCAAATCATGCTAAGATTTCAAAGGTCAATCTTGTGTGGCAGATATGCACTATTTTTATTTTTAGTTCCTGGCAATTAGTTGATGAACTTTGGTCACGTTCTTTCCGTACTAGAAGACGACACAAATAAACTACGGTAAATCAGAAGAAACAAAAAGTTAAACCAGCAAATTGCGGAAGCAGGCACTGTAAAGGTAGAGAAGGAGTTGTCAGATGTTTGACTTGATGAGTACTAGTACTAATTAAATAAAAAATTTAAAAAGTGTTGATTATACACGAACTGCAACATTTAGATACAAGTTTCTTATGGAATCTTGTTCCCTATTGCAGAACAACAAACGCTAAAAACAATTGAGAACAATAATTTCTCTAGTTTTCTTCTAATTTCAGCAATACCCTCACCTTTGTGGTGGTAAAAGCTAATATGATACAAGTATTTTGCTTTGCTTTTTTTTCTTAACATACATGCTTCGTGCTTGTTTTGATTCGTCTGTGAACGGGAGGAACTCTGTAATATGCTGGGATTGTTGCAGGAAAGAACACCTGTCTAACTCCTTCGGCTTTAATAATTGGGAATATGATTCCTGATGCACTCTGGAAATTGAAATCCAAAAGATTAGTTAGCAATTCATGTTTGTATTGTTCGTAATATGACTAATGTAACAAGCTTGCTGATGAGACAGTACTGGGAAAATAAGTAACATACCAAGATCAATCTAGCCCCCAACCATATCCGTTTCGGCGTTGGGAATGGAATCATTAAGCGGCCGACTCCATAGACAGCCACAGCAAAGAAATGGAGAAACAGGCTGATCAGACGAGGGTTAAGACCAGAGAGTAGAGATATTGGTCCATTTGAACAGATGCCTCCAAGGCTCAAATAGTCAAAACATGCTTCACGCATTTCTCGTCTTGCGGGGTCAGGCGATGCACAGAACACCTTGTAAAGCGCACCGGCTAATGTGTTTATGGTAGATGACACAGGCTGCAATGAAAATTAACGAATGCCATCAAACACATTTTCACATGCATGATATATGACGTGTTATAGTGTCAGATTGAACAACATAACATGTTAGGTTCTCTTAGAAGTGAAAATTTTCTTTTACATATCGAGAATATTGATACATACCTTGCGGAGTGTGTAGAATGATTTGAGATAATCACACAAGGCAGGTGCATCGTTGAAATCACTTAGCGGTCTCAGAAGATCCCTAAGAAGAACAATGTCAGAAAGAGCCACAGTCATTCCTCCTCCTGTTAAAGGATGTCTCATGTTGAAAGCATCCCCCAGTAAAATTGCACCAGGAGTGGGCTGTGGAGCAGCCGGCATGCTTTTGTTTTGCATTGTTCTGATGATTCCTTTATCAACCGCTGCTAGAAAAGCCTTTAAGAGCTGATGGGGAACCTGAAACAGCACATTCCTCATATTAGTCCCTTTCCATCGAAATGACATGAAATTGAAACATACTAAAGTCAAGCAAAGTAATAGATACCTGAGGAGCCACGACAGTTTTCAAATACTGAGCCATTTCGCCGTTAGCTACTGAAGGTACTTTTGTGCCAGGAACATCTACCAAACAACGAACCTCGGTACTACTAATAGGATAAAACAGGATGGGTGAAGGGTCTCCCAGAATCACATGTCCATGATTTGCATGAGGAAGCTCACAGTTCTCCAAGATCAATCCGACGAAGCAGGACGGATTTTCAATCTACAGTAAATAGACAAGTTAGTTTTGTTGCTCTCATCAAAAGTGCAAACACTTCCATGCTAAAATATAAAAGAAATGCTCGAGTTTCTAAAGATGCAATAAATTACATTTGGAGTAGAAATAGAGCGACGCAGATTTGAAAAGCATCCATCGCAGACTATTGTTAGCGGAGCATATGTTCTCATCTCCTTTCCGGCCTTGTTCTTGTACATCACTCCCTTGACGGTTCCCTTTTCTTCAAGTAGTGTTGTCACTGTTCCTTGTTCCAATTTTACACTAGAGAAAAAAACAAAAAAATAGAGGAGCCATGAGTACCGGTACAAATGAAATTACATCGAAGAAGAATATCTTCTTATCATATTTCGAAGGAGAATGGAATTTACGTACTTGGAAGAGTTGCTGCCTTTTCGCGCATTCTTTGGATGAAACGCCCGTTGTGAAAGCTTCTCCCAGCGATATCTAAATTGTATGTTTCCAAGGGATAAGACAGTTTCGTGTCATTGCCATTCTTGTAAAGGGCATAACCAAACACTTTCTGAGCATCAATGGACTCGTTAGCACAATCTTCAAGACCTAATTCAATCAACTTGAGATAGCCTCCAGGCTGCAATAGTTCACCAACAATTCTGTCTGGCTCACTAAGGTCCCTTTCGATCACATGTACACGCCGTCCTTCCTATATTTATTTAACAAGAAGCAAAACTCATGGTTAATTACTCAGCCTTGTTAAACTAACGATATTTACAACCGGCCGCACTGGAAACCAAGGTCCTTCAGTGTGAACAAGATTAATATTGTTTGGACTGCACTATTGGAATTAGCTCCCAACATAGGCAAATCAAATAGAAGAGAACAAAGAAATAGCTTATTTAAAATTCTGATTAGTTTAATATTCTCTTAATAACTGATGTTAGTGAGAAACATTTAAAAACATTAATTGAAAACACGGGGAACAAGTATACAATGAGTGTTTATCCAAGTATTCAATAAGTTTTCAATAATTTATTGAAAAAATAAAATGCAAAATGAAAGTTATCTATTTTCCGTCTAAGTGAGAGTCACAACCCAAGCGAGTGCCTAGGCAGGTCTAGACACTATTTCTTAATTTTCAAATGCCTAGAGATTAATCGAGTGTTAGGCCCTACCTGGACGGTGATAGGCGGAAATTTTTGGAACCATGTTTCTATTGAACATTCATTAATCATTCATTCATCTTGTTTTTACTTGACCATAAACTGATGATGAGGATAAAGAGAAAGATATAATGATCACCTTGCCAAGAGTGTAAGCAAGAGCAGAACCAGCAACTCCAGCACCGACAATGACAACGTCCGTACTTTTCTCAATCTCGGGCGCAAGAAAAACACCGGTTGCCGACACGTTTGCGACATCGTCCTTCTTGTTTCCCCTGAAAGTGGTGTTTATGATGACGAAGAAAACAGAACTCAACAGAGAAACCAAGACACCAGCAAGAGCATATTCGTAAACCATACTTGATTAATATTTTTCTTTAATTTCTTTTCGCTGTGATTTGTAATCTGTGGAAGTGCTTGATGCTTATGATTGTTATGAAACAGCAATGGAGGCTGAATGCGCTATATAGAGAGAGTTAAGTATTGTTGTTGGGCAAAGGATGAAGCTTCTGTGTAGGCGCCTACCATGACTTCTTTGCTGATAGGTATGTGGGAATAAGTTATCAGAAATTATTAAATGTAGGAAATAAAACAGGTTTTTTATTTTATTTTTACAAGCATATATAAAAGAGGTTCACGCATGATCAAATAAGCAGTCATACTTTCGTTTTTTTTTATATTTGTAAGTATAATACTCAATTAAATATGGAGAGTGGAGACATTAGACATGAGAGCAACGGGGATGTTGGGTCAAGTTTTAAGTGTGGAGGACTGACTGTGGACTGTGGACCAATATTTTGTCAAAGTACTCGCTAATAAAATATTTATCATGATATATTGACATTTTGTTTATCTTTTATCTGTGGAATTTGTTGGAGTCAATTTATCTTTTATTTGTGGAATTTGTCGGTGTCAATTTCTCACAAGCTCAATAGAATGACTTGAACAACCTGCAACTAAAGGACGAAATTTAATTTAGGGCAGATTACTTATCAGTAATAGAGAATTAAGAAATCGGATAAGCTAGTGAAAATGTGGATGAACAGTAAACTAATTAGGACGATAGTTGAAACAGTTAACAAAATGAATTAGCACCTAATGACGGAGTGAAATTTAAACATTGTTTCAATCTTATATTAAACCAGTAGTTTAGTAAATTAAATAAACTTTTTAACCAAATGATTATTCAAATTAAATAAGATTCAAGCATGATTAAATAAGCAATCATAATTTTTTTTTAATTATTTGTAAGTATAATATTCAATTAAATATGTTTAGTGGAGATATCAGACATGAGAGCAACGGCGAAGTTAAGTCAAGTTACAAGTGTGAAGGACTGTGGACTGTTGAGCAATACTTTGTCAAAGTACTTGTTAATAAAATATTCATCATGACTTTTTGTTTATCTTTTGTTTGGGGAATTTGATGGGAGAGTCCATTTCTCACAAGCTCAACGGAAAGACTTGAATAACCTGCCGCTAATGAACGAAATTTCGGGCAATTTACTTATGTTAATGGACAATTAAGGAATCGGATAATTTAGTGAAAATATGGATGAATTGAAAACTAATTAGGACGCGAGTTGAAACCGTTAACAAAATAATTAACACCTACTGACCCAGTGGAATTGAAAAATTGTATTAATCTTATGACACACCAGTAGTTTAGCAAATTAAATATGTTTTTAGCCAAAATGGCTCTTCAGGTTGTCATAACTCCTAGATTTGGTTCATGAGATTTAAAATCAATAAAAGTGGTCATTAAATTTGTCCATTATCAATTATTTTGAAACTTCCGTGGAAAATCTCCGTTAAAACTAAAATGACACGAACACTCTTAAATTTTGTCAAATCATTTTGGTCATTTGTTTATTAAATTGAGGGTATTTTATTTCTTATTCAATAGATATTTTACAAGAAATGACCAAAATTATTGATGGTGAACAAACTCTGAGGTCACTTATGTCAATTTCAAATTTCAGAACTAAAGTAAGGAATAATACCAATATCATGAATCATTTTAGTTAAAATGCCAATTAAATAAAGAGACGAAGTACACAACAATTTATGGCTAAATTACATTTCACATTCTTTAGATTTAAGGTGAGTTTCAAAATGGGCCATATGGTTTTAACTTTTTAACGTAACCTGAAGTTTTACACCTTTAGGTTTGGAGTGATTTGAAGGAAAATTAATGTACACCATTTATTTTCTTTCTACACCCAATTTATCATTTTTTTATCTTGAAATTTCAAATTTATCCAACATTGTCTTTCTACACCCAAACAAAAAACAAAAAAACAAAAAAAAAAAAACGTGAAGCAATTTACAGTTTTGAGTTTTTGATTTGTCCTCCTAATCAACCAAGAAATGGGCTGAAAGATGGGAAGCACATGAGGCTCATCCTCTGCAAGCACCATGAAAGAGAGGCAGCATAGTCATGGTTTCTGCCGATAGAGGAGTAAAGGCTGCACCTTCCAAATAGAAGATTAAAGGCAGCAGTAAAGAATTTCTCTCTGCGGCCGAAATCAAGTGTGCAAAGTGAAGATTTCCAACATCCGACATCGTTCAATTGTGAGAATAGCAAAGCGAAGTTCAAAGCTGAAAATTGGCAAGAACTTTGTTCATTGTTTAAAAATTGATCAAGTTATTGTACTGGGCGTATGTGCTATTGTGTGAGCAGTGTGCGGGTGAAAAGCTAGAAGCTTGAGCCTGGCACCAAAACAACACAAGTGTCAGGAAAGCTCTTCCATAACATGTCAAAGAAACAAGTTAGGATCTTCCCTTGAGAAAGCCCATTCTCTGAGTTCTTAAAGAAATAGATGTTAGGGAGAATCCACCATGGGCAACTCGAAAACAAAAGGGCAGCAAAGAGAAGAAAGCAAAGCTTTCCTCCTGTCCAAATTTGATGATGGCAGCAAAGGAGCAACAAAGAATAAAAGCGCATTTTCTTGTTAGCTCACCCTGAAAGAATATAAAAACAAAAGTGGACACCTTCAAGAAGATGAAGATGAACATGGCAGCATATATAGGAGCATAAAGAAGCATCCAAAGTTAGCAATCCAGGCTTAGAAGAGGATAAGAAAATCACTCATGTCAAGAAATCCGGAGGCAAAAAGAGGGCAGTTTTTAGAGCTCTTGTGACATCCATGTTGGCATCAAAATCCGAAGATCGAAAGAGCTTGGCATATAGAGAAAACCAATGAAAGGTGAAGACCAAAGATCAAGTTTCACAAGCCAAAGAAGCTCAAGGAAGATCAATAACTTCACATTAAGGGGGAGTGTTGAAATATTAACGTAAAGTTGTATTAATTGTTTAATGCAACTAGAACTAATGATTGCTTGGTGTTAGGAAGGCCACGTAGTATCTGAGAGTGAATATCCACACCAAGTAAATATGAGAGCTAATCTTCACCAAATAAAGTGTAGTGTGCAAAAGAAGCCGAGGCTATTCATATAAGAGTAAGTCCATCGTGAGAAACCTCTCCCAAGGATATTCATTATTTAATCAACTAAATGAACAGTAACTATTTTTAATGAGTAATTGCATTTTGTATTTCTACCATTGCAATTGAATAGCCCTGGCAATAGGCAATAAAATATTAATTTTTTTTAAATAATACAAAATAATTTTATTTGTAATTTCGGATAAGATTTTTAGTCGTTTTCGTTGCGTCACTTGTCATTATCCGAAAAGACAATTATTGGTGATGAATTTCGATAAGATTTTTATCCAATGTCATCATGTCACATGTCGTTACCTTTTCAGAATTTTTGAGGATAGATTTCGATTAGATTTTAAATCGTTCTCGTTGCACCACGTGTAAGGTTCTAAAAAACGCTAGACGCTAGTTGGGCGGAGGGTTGACGCCTAGCGCCTAGGTGGCTAGGCGGGGTCTAGGCGGGCGCCTAGGCGGTCTAGGCGAATTTAGGTAAATTTCTTATATATCTTGTAAATAAGTGTATATTGACATTTACAAAAAAATTATAAATTCCTAAATAAAAAATAATAAAATACCTATCTAACAAGTCTTAAAAATCAATACTGAACTGACAACTTGACAATATATGTTTTTTTTATTATTAATAGCACCTGATGCTATGGAAGTATACCTAACACCTGATGCTATGGAAGTAAGGATGGACTGACAACCCATTTTCTTTTAGAAGGTCAAGATGCTAGCTGTCTGAATGGACAGAAACCAAAAATGAAAAATAAATAAAGACAATGATCACGTGGATGTGGAAGGAAGAGAGAGAATCTCTTTCATCTTCTTCCTCTTCATAAGAACACAAACCAAACGTTCATGAAGTCTAGAAAAACCAGAACAAAGCTAATCCGCATTCATCCTTCTCAAGTTTGAATACAGAAAAAATTGAAATTCCCAGACTGCCTAGGCCACCTAATCGCCTGCCTAGGCCGCTTAGGCCACCTCGACGCCCGCCTAATGCCTGTCCCGATTTTGCTCTCGATTATGCATTAATCGAGGCGGTTGGCCACCGCCGAGCACCTAGGCCAATTTTTAGAACACTGGCCACGTGTTATTATCCGAAAAGATAATTATTGATGATGGATTTTGATAAGATTTTTATCAAATGCCATCGTGTCACGTGTCGTTACCTTTTTAGAATCTTTGAGGATAGATTTCGATTAGATTTTTAAATAATAATGGCATGCCATGTGGCACTATCTACAACATAATCCTTTCTGAATCCTCCATATAATCCATCATCCATCCTCTGAAATCTCACATCAATTTTCTCAAGATCTCTATTATTATTCATAGTTTCTGTTTCATTTTTCACCAAAATCAAAATATGTATTATTATTCATAATTTCTACTTACTTCTTACAATGTCTTCTTCTTCTTCAAGAATGAGGTGGGAAATCGATCAGTAAAAGGAAGAATTGTTTAACCAATCAGAAGGAATGTTCAATTTCCAGGTGGCCCAAAATGAGATGGAAGAGGATGAGGAGCGTTGAAGGAAAGATGACGATGCAAGAATGGCCAGAGCCTCACATTCCCGTCGAGTCATCCAAGTTATGGCTCAGATCTTCAGGCCTAGCCGTTCCTGAAACCTTGATAGAAGCAGGTAACGATGAGGTGCGGAGCTCTTGGACAATTATTTTGTCCGTAACAGTGCATTCCCTAATACATACTTCAGACGTCATTTTAGAATGGAACGACATTTATTCAACAAAATCATGATTGCTGTTTACAACCATGATTCTTACTGTGTGCAAAATAATGATGCTTTTAGTGCTATGGGTCTCCTTCCTGAGCAAAAAATTATTGCTGTGATGCAGATGCTTGCGTATAAAGCATCTGCAGACTAAGTGGATGAGATAGCGAGGATGGGGAAATCAACCATTCTTGAGTCCCTGATGAGGTTTTGCAGAGCAATTGAATCTATCTACACCACAGAGTACCTCAGGAAACCTACTAACATGGACTTGCAAAGGCTTCTGAAGAAGGCCGAGATGTGAGATTTTCCTGGGATGATTGGAAGCATCGATTGTATGCACTGGAAGTGGAAAAACTATCCAAGTGCATGGCAAGACGCTTATGGGGACAGAAAATGAGCAAAAAGTATCATTTTGGAGGCGGTGACATCTTTTGATACATAGATTTGGCACGCATTTTTTGGGTTTCAGGAGCTCAAAATGACCTCAACGTCCTTGCCCAATCCCAAGTGTTCAACGATGTCCAGCAAGGAAAGGCACCAAAATCATGTACTGCGTCAACGGACATATGTACGATGGGCCATACTACCTAGCAGACGGCATTTATCCAAGGTG